TGGTCCGGGAAGATCCCACATGACACGGAGCAACTAAGCCCATACGCCACAACTACTGAGCCTGCGCTCTAGAGCCCCGTGAGGCACAACTACTGAAGCCCGCGTACCTAGAGCCTGTGCTCCGCAACAAGAGAAGCCACCGCAATGAGAAGCCCGCGCACGACAAAGAAGAGTAGTCCCCGCTAGCCCCAACTAGAGAAAGCCTGCGCGCAGCAGCGAAGACCCAGCAGCCAAAAATAAATAAATAAATTTGTTTTTTTAAAAAAAAAAAACTTAAAAAAAATAATGATACTGTGGTAGCAATGAGCCCACCTGGCACCCAGATCTTGGTTTCTAAATATCATTCCCCACTTAACAGAAGGAAAGCTCCTTGGAGAAAGGGTGGAGTCCAGAGCTGGGGCCGGTAAAATTTCAAGAAAAAAACCACTCTGGAACATCTTGTTGAGCCGATAAGGAAGGAAGTGCCAAAGATGGAATTAGAAAACAATCATCATTTAGCAACCATTATCTGATAGAAGAGACAGACATGGTGGACACCTCTGTGCCACTCCCTTTTTCCTGCCTTCATTGAGGATGTGCTGCCTGGAGCCACAGCAGCCATCTAGCTACATGAGAAAAAGGCCAAGAGAATCTAGGTCATTAACCCTAATATCACTTGACCAAATCAATGCCAGCAGCCATCCTCCTCCAGAATTCTTGTAACTAAAAATAAAACCCTCTTTGCTAACAACAGCAACAAAATTTAATTCAGGCAAGAATCATCAATGAATATTAAATCTGGTGGGTGAATGTCTGTTGAGGAGCAGATGTTAAATCAGTTTCACGGTATTTTCCAATAAGGCACTTACTGATAAGTGCAACGTTAACTCATGGTGGAGAAACCTGGAAGACCCCATTTAATTAATTAATTAATTAATTTTTAAAAAAATATATATTTTTGATGTGGACCATTTTTATTTTTATTTTATTTATTCATTTTTGGCTGCGCTGGGTCTTCCTTGTTGCGTGCGCACTTTCTCTAGCTGCGGCAAGCGGGGTCTACTCTTCGTTGCAGTGCGTGGGCTTCTCAGTGCGTTGGCTGAACACGGGCTCTAGGCACGCGGGCTTCAGTAGTTGTGGCTCGTGGGCTCTAGAGCGCAGACTCAGTAGCTGTGGCGCACGGGCTTTGTTGCTCCGCGGCATGTGAGAACTTCCCGGACCAGGGCTTGAACCCTTGTCCCCTGCCTTGGCAGGCGGATTCTTAACCACTGAGTATGTGGACCATTTTTAAAACCTTTATTGAATTTGTTACAATATTGCTTCGTTTTATGTTTTGGTTTTTTGGCCGCCAGGCATGTGAGATCTTAGCTCCCTGACCAGGGATGGAACCCACACCCCCTGCATTGGAAGGGAAAGTCTTAACAACTGGACCTCAGGGGAAGTCCCTGGAAGACACCGTTTTAACATAATCAGGTTAATATAATTAGGGTAGGTTATAAGTAGTGGAAGAAATCAACATTCTTTGCCTCCTGATACATGCAATGAGAATACAACATCACTTCTGTGGTTTCTGTCCTAAATGCATGTCATGAGGAAATATTAAAGAAAAGCAAATTGAGAGGCTTTCTACAAAATAACTAGCCAGTAATCTCCAAAAATATCAAGGTCATAAAAGACAAGGAAAGAATGAGGAATTGTTCCAGACTGCAGGAGACTGAATTAGACAGCAAAATACAACATGTGATCCTGGGACGGATGCTGGAGATTTAAAGAACTTTACTGAAACTCTGAATGGGATTTGGGAATTACCTGGTGATATTGGATCCATATTAATTTCCTGATTTTGAAGATCATACTGTGATTATGTGGAAGAATGTGCTTTACTTAAGAAATAAACTGGGGGGCTTCCCTGGTGGCGCAGTTGTTGACAGTCCGCCTGCCGATGCAGGGGACATGGGTTCGTGCCCCGGTCCGGGAAGATCCCACATGCCGCGGAGCAGCTGGGCCCGTGAGCCATGGCCGTTGAGCCTGCGCGTCCGGAGCCTGTGCTCTGCAACGGGAGAGGCCACAACAGTGAGAGGCCCGAGTACCGCAAAAAAAAGAAAGAAACTGGGACTTCTCCGGTGGTGCAGTGGTTAAGAATACGCCTGCCAATGCAGGGGAAACAAGTTCAAGCCCTGGTCCGGGAAGATTCCCCCATGCTGTGGAGCAACTAAGCCTGTGCGCCACAGCTACTGAGCCTGCGTTCTAGAGCCTGCGAGCTACAACTACTGAGCCCACGTGCCACAACTACTGAAGCCTGCGTGCCTAGCGCCCGTGCTCTGCAACAAGAGAAGCCACTGCAATGAGAAGCCCGTGCACCGCAACGAAGAGTAGCCCCTGCTCGCCACAACTAGAGAAAGCCCAAGGGGAGCAATGAAGACACAACGCAGCCAAAAATAAAAATTAATTAATTAATAAATTTTAAAAAGTTAAGAAAACCAATCGGTTAAAAAAAAAGAAAGAAAGAAAGAAACACTAGGGACTTCACTGGTGGTCCAGTGATTAAAAATCTGTCTTCCAATGCAGGGGATGCGGGTTTGATCACTGGTCAGGGAACTAAGATCCCACATGCGTCGGGGCAACTAAGCCCGTGCACCTCAACTACTGAGCCCACTTGCCACAACTAGAGAGAAGCCCGCCTGCCTCAAAGAAAGAAAGAAACACTGAAGAATTAAGGGTTAATGAGACACCATGTGTGTATCTTATACTCAAAGGATTCAAAAATGTTAACAATTGGGGAATCTGGGCAAAGTGTTTATGGGAGCTCTTGCATTCTTTCTGCAACTTTTATGTAAATTTGACATTATTTTAAGATAAAAAATTAAAAACCCAAATGCACAAAGTTGAACATTTGATGCATTTTGATCTGCAATCACTATCCTTATTGAGGATCAAATTGTCCAGTTTGTGGCCAATGGAAGCTTCTTATTGGCTCCCATTGACATTATCTTACCAGGTAATGTCTTTGATAACTCCCTTTCTGGTATATCAAGATGTACCATTTTTGTCTGTACATTTCCTGCCCCTGACTCAGAATCAGATTTTTCCTCAGTGTTCCTGGCTTCTTTCAATTGGAAATGGTATTTAGAGACCACGATCTGGGCTTATGGGGTGCTTATTAAGAAGGTTGGTCTTTGTTTCAGACTTTTTTTTCAGTGGACAGAGATAGGAAATGTTTGCTTTTTATAAAGATAAAATATATCATGATACTCCCAATTCAAATTCAAGACCACAGGGTTTTTCTTTAATGTGATCAATCTTACATCTGTACCTCCTTCACTCCCTCTGAAAAGCTCAGTTCTTGACACCAACATAATCACTCCTTTTCTTTATCCCAGACTAAATGTGCAACAAGCTCAGAATAACAATTTTAACACCACCACCACCAATATAGTGGTATGTACAATCAAACTGTGGAGTTTTAAAGTCACTAGTTCATCTCTGCGTTGTTTTGTCACCAACTGGATACACAGGTTAATTCGTTTTATCTTATTTTTGTTTTTAGGGATATCTTATATTTAAAATTTTGTTTTAAAGTTATATAAAATATTTACATGGTTGTAAAGTCAGATATCCAAAACAAGGTACAGTTTTAAAAGTCTAGCTTCTATCTTTGTCCCTTCTATTTTACCCCTTCCCTCTATAGGTAACCTTTTAAAAACTGTTATGATTTATTGTTCCTTTTTTTTTTTTTTTTGCGGTACACGGGCCTCTCACCGTTGTGGCCTCTCCCGTTGCGGAGCATAGGCTCCGGACGCGCAGGCGCAGCGGCCATGGCTCACGGGCCCAGCCGCTCTGCGGCATGTGGGATCTTCCCGGACCGGGGCACGAACCCGTGTCCCCTGCATCGGCAGGCGGACTCTCAACCACTGTGCCACCAGGGAAGCCCTTATTGTTCCATTTTTGAAAAATGTAAGCTAGTACAGCACAGAAGAATTTGATTAAGGTAATTGAGCTGATCTACATATTCAATAAAGGCAGGGGAAGGGGAAGAAAGGAGTATTGAGGCCATTCTCCATCCCACCTCAAGCTCTTTGCATCCCACCTCAAGCTCTTCACCATTGTCAGTTCCATTGCTTCTTTAGGAAAATACTTTTGGACTTTCCAAATATTCCATGATATGCCTCCCTCACTCGCTATAATTTATCACCTTTGTAATTAAGAATTACATAATTGACTGCTTAATGTCTATGTCATTCCCTAGACTGAGGTTCATGAGGGCAGCAATATTTACTCAACATTGTGTCCACAGCGCCTAGCACAGTGCCTGACTCATAATAGGCCCTCTTATTGATGCTTATTACATCTAATGAATGAATTTGTTGTATGTATGAATGAATGTGAATGATAAATAAATGATGTTGGCTTTAGGCTCTTGCACGGCCCCTTAACCTCTCTAGACTTCTGTAGTTCCTCTCTGTAAAATGTAATCGGACGGTTCATCCCTCCCCCAGGATTGGCGAGAAGCCTAAGAGAGGTGAGGAACACTTACAAATCCCTTCGCTAGTGTCGCGTTGAATTCTTTTTGTTTTTTTTAACATCTTTATTGGGGTATAATTGCTTTACAATGGTGTGTTAGTTTCTGCTTTATAACAAAGTGAATCAGTTATACATATACATACGTTCCCATATCTCTTCCCTCTTGCGTCTCACTCCCTCCCGCCCTCCCTCGCGTTGAATTCTGTAATGGTTTTATTTATTAACTGGTCTTCTGCAGGTGGCGCCACGTGCCCCGCTCGTGCCCAGAGTCGGCATGGGGCGGGGCCAGGGATGGGGGCGGGGCATAGACTGGGGTGGAGCCAGGACGCAGCAGGGGCGGGGCCAGCAGCTGCGGCGCCGCCGGGCCTGTGCGGCCGAGGACGTCCCCGTCGCCTCTGGCCCCGCCTCCCAGGGCGGGACTTCTACGGCGATTGGCCAGTGTAGGCGAGAGGCGGTCGCCATTGGTTCGTGGCGCCGTCTGCTTGGCGGGCGGTGTCCCGACGCAGGTGCCGGCCGGAGCGGAGCTAGCGGCGCTGAGGAGACCGGCCGGGCCGGGACCAGGGCCCGGGCAAGCGGAGGGGCCTGCGCGGCCGCCCGGCCCGGCCGCGGATCAGGTAGGCACGGGCGGGAGGATGGGGCCGGAGGGTGCCGATCCGCGGGCTGGCCCCGAGTTTGAGGCCCGAGCCCGGCCCCCAGGCGGGACGGCCGGGCTCGGACAGTCGGCCTCAGCCTTCCCAGGGACTAGGTGATCGCAATTTACGTCTTTGCAGAAGGCAGGAGGTCCTCTGGGGGCCGGCACACAGTAGGTGCCTCTCTGAGCCTCGGTCTCCTCATCTGTGAAACCGGGTCATCCTAGTACCAACCTAATTGGGCTGTTGGGAGGAATCAGGAGGTGGCAAATGAGGAAAGCGCTCTGCACACAGTAGGCGGTCAGTAAATGACCAGTCACCTTCCCCAACCTCCTCCTCAGAGGGGCTCTGCCAGGAAAATAGTAAATATAATGACCCAGGCACTTGGTTAGCAGAGTGCCTTGCTGTTCATGGGTGCTCAAAACGGGGTAGCCAGAATTTATAGGATTAGGTCATTTAGTCCTCTAGCGACAATATTAAGTGGAAGTACTAGAAACGTTCCCTGCTATACAGATGAGGAATCAAGGCTCAGAGAGGTCAAGCCTTTTGCTCAGGGCTACACAGCGAGTAATGATCAGAGCTGCGATTAGAGCCTGGCCTTCAGTGCAGGGCCATTCAAGTACTGAAGGGCATACAGGAGCCTCTCTGTGGTAAGTGAGGAGGAATGAATGCATTTCACAGGCTCCATGTTTATCCTAAAAAATAATAGCAGTGAGCATTTGTTGAGCGCTTACTGTGTGCCAGGCACTGGCTGTGCCTTGTTTCATCAAACCCTACCAACAGCTCTGTAAGCTGATGATGGTAATTATCATAAGAGCTAATATTTATCGACTTTCTCATATTTATGCATGTATGAGCTGGGTTTCACTGGGACCCCCATTATACAGAAGAGAAAACTGAGGCCCAGAGAGCAAGGCAGCTGGACTGAGATGACACTGTGGGGAGCTAGGGCCCTCTGACTCTTCTTCCCTTGGTTTCCTACCCTCAGAAAAAAGGAGTCTGGGTAGGTGTGGAAAGGTTGTGGTTCCCCAGCGCCACCCCAGACAAGCCTAGCCAAGGGCGAGCTTCGCTGGAGGAATTGAGCCTGGCTGCTCCTTCCCAGGAAGCCCTCAGCAGACACAGTCCACTAGCTTCATCAACTTATTTGACAAAGGAGAAAAATGAGGCCCAGAGAAGCCAAGTGTCTTGTTCCAGGACAGACAGCATTAGTAACAGAGTCAGGACTTAAAAGAACCCAGATTTCTTGAGTCCCAGACCCACTCACTGGACTAAGTTCAAATCCTGGCACTGTCCTGACTTAGCTGTGTGATCTTGGGCAAGAAGCTGCCCCTCTCTGAGCCTCAGTCTCCTCACCTGTCAGGTGGGGGTAATTATTGGACTTACGTCATAGTTTTGTTGTGAAGGCTCAGTGAAATCCATCTCTCAAGCACTGGGCCAAGTTTGCTTGAGGCATTGGCTCGCTCTGCCATCCCAGCAGCCCCAGAGCTGCAGCCACCCTATCCTTGCATCCAGCCTCGAGTTTGGCCTCTTGCAAGCCCAAGCCTCTGTGCTTTGCACAGATCTCTAGCCTCTAAATATTTCTGCTTCCCATCATGGGTGCTGGCCGACCAGGGTCTGGGGGGCGGGGTCAAGAGACCTGGCTCTCCCAACCCTGCACTTACACAGAGGAGGAGCTGAAAAATTAATGCAGGAACTCTGTACTAGACATAGGGCCAGGTGCTGGAGACACTGATGAGTGGAAGACAGACGTGGTTAAACCAGTAGATGAAGAAATAAGAGCATTTCATGGGAATCCCCTGGCGGTCCAGTGGTTAGGACTCTGCTCTTTCACTGCTGAGGGTCCAGGTTCAATCCCTAGTCGGTGAGCTAAGATCCCACAAGCCGTGCGGCGCGACCAAAAAAGAAAAAAAGGGAAAGAAATAAGAGCATTTCAGGCCCGTAGGCAGAGAGTCTTCTGCGCTGTTCCTAAGGCCGCTGAGTCACTGGACCCCCTGGGTCTGGCCGTTGCCCGGTTCTTGAATGGATCGAGAGGGAGCCCACTGTGGCCGTATGCCTGAGCACTCTCTCCAGTAGCTGCTGACTCAGGAATAAAGGCGGCATTGGCCTCTCAAAAAAAAAAAGGAAAGAGCATTTCAGAGAGGGGTACATTCTGTAAGGGCAATAATGTGGACACCAATGGCACTTTGACCAGAGTGGTCAGGGAAGGCCTCTCTGGGGAGGTGACCTTTGAAGGGGACACTTATAACAACTGTTTGAGTTCAGTAAGCTTAGCACAGTACCCGGCTTGCAGTAGGTACTTAATAAACAGTAGCTGCTATTATTATTTTGGTGATTTGCAGGCCTTGCATTAGCAGATTTTACCAGTGTTTTTGTTTTTCCCCTGACAGTAAAAGAAATGATAGAATTTAATATACAGTAGCTGTGATGTTTCTTGTGATGCCCAATCACTTGCAGAAATGTGAAGGCCAATCCTTGGAGGGGCAAGAGGAGTGGATTCCCCTCTGCCTGCATTCCCTTGGGTAACCCAGCGACTTCCCTGCTGGCCTCTGAGCTGGAAATTCTGGTTGCAGGCACTCGGAAGGGACAGCAGTGTACACAACATGGCAGGCCTGGCCACTGCCCTGAGGATGTTATCTCAGTCATGCGGCCTTCCTCCCAGCCTCCTCCTGCCTCTGGGCTGACACTTGCTTGTGTGGCCAACAGCAGCCCAACTATAGAGGCTCAGAAGGGCCTGCTGAGCCTGGAGGTCTTCTGGCTGAGCTGTTCAGAGACTGTTGATCTGGCAGCAGACTGTCCTGGTGCAAAAAGTTAGCCGGTGACTTACACTGCTTCCCTCCCACCCCTCTTTGGGTCTCAGAGTTTGGCTGGCAAGGGTTGGTAAAAAACAATTGTGGGGGGACTTCAGCGAGTGTTTCAGGGGGTCTCTGGATCATAGTTCCTAGGGACAAACGGTGGAGTATAAGACAAGTTTGGGACAGAGATCCTTAGCTCCAGAGCACCTGTATTGGCTTCAAGAGGCCTCTGTTACTTTCATGAAATTCTCGAAACACACAAGACTCGCTGGCTGGTTCTGTGACGGAAGAAGAGCTTGCCAAGGGTTCCTTTTGTCAGGTCAGACCCTGGGGTGGGGGACAGAATCCTGCTGAAGTCTCCCACCCAGAGCAGACTCCAGATTGCTCCGGTGGCCTCTCCTTGGGGACAGAGGCATGGGTTAGAGCAGCTGCTCTGGTGGGTGGGGACAGAGACTGCCTGGGCCACTTCCTTGATAGCCTGAGTTATCAAGGAGTTCAGAGCCCCACAAGAGGCCGTCAACCAGGAGGGTCAAAGTGACTCACCATCCTGGTCTGCTGGGCCAAGTTTCTAGCTCAGTTCTGGCCCACTCGAAGGTGGGCATGAGCCCAGGCCCAGCAATCCAATCCATGGAGAACAGTCTCTACATGGTTGGCGGGCATGGTTCTGTTCCTGGAAAGCGCCAAACACAGGGCCTGCTACACAGAAGGTGTTCAATCACTGTTAGGTGCTGTTATTATGTCTGGAAAGGTGATATTGGGGGTGACCTGCATGCTTTGCAGGCTGGGCCGGGCTGGCCTTTCTTAGGAGGGTCAGAGGTAATATAATCAAGCCCCTGAGATGTGCCAGGCCTGGGCTGAGCTGCATGTGTGACCTTATTGAATCCTCACAGCCCCCTCCAAAGCCCCATTGTACAGATTGGGCAACCGAGGCTCAGAGAGCTGGATTCAGTGTGTGGCTTGTTAACCTTGCCCTTAATCTTCCTGCCGGCCTCTCCCCAGGCTCCTGGGACCATGGGCCTCGGGCGCTGAGGACGAGGGGCTCCCTGTGGCCATGACGACGGGTGACTGCTGTCACCTCCCTGGCTCCCTGTGCGACTGCTCCGACAGCCCCGCCTTCTCCAAGGTCGTGGAGGCCACGGGCCTCGGGCCACCCCAGTATGTGGCACAGGTGACTTCAAGGGACGGCCGGCTCCTCTCAACTGTCATCCGGGCCTTGGACACACCGAGGTTAGTGGTGGCCAAGCAGGGATCTTTGCCTTCACTCACTTCGCTCTCGGGCCCAAGGGGTTTCCTCCCAGCCCTGCCTGGGGTCAGAAATCCAACTGCGGGAATTCCCTGGTGGTCCAGTGGTTAGGGCTTGGTGCTTTCACTGCCGGGACCTGGGTTCGATCTCTGGTCGGGGAACTAAGATCCCACTAGCCGCGGGCCAGAAAAAAAACAAAAAAGAAATCCAGCCACCTAGAGGGGCCAGGTGGGCAAATAAACCAGTAACCACCACGTGGAAACTGGCTAGCCAGGTCTGATTCTTCACGAAAAGCAGAAACTCCAGATTACTGGGTAAAATCTGAAGGTCCGATGTTGGTGAGTAGCTCACGTCTTGGGGAGGCTGCTTGAGGAAATGGCTGGCTGTGGACTCAGGGTGCCTGGGCTCAGGTCCTGAGTAGAAGCCTCTCTCCCTGTACAACCTGGGAAAAGTTGCTTCACCCCCGTATCTTTAAACTGGGGACACCTTCCTCACTGGGTTGTTTTGAGAGTACGTGGCCGTGGTCCACATAAAGTGCCCGCAAGGGGCTTTGCCACCTCATAAGCATTTGATAAATGTATTTAAACCTCAGTGCCAGCCTTCCAGACCCACGTGTGAGCTGAGTCTGCCTGGTTCATCAACTTGTCACCAGTTCCAAGGAAAAGAGATTTAAGGAAACCCCACACAAATTTAAATCCACTTTAACTCATTAAGATGTAATCTGGCCACCAGTTTTTCAAGTTTAATGTATTTTCATGATGTTTACTTGAGACAATTTAATTCATAAGCTTTTCTTTCCAATTTTTTTTTATTGTTACGATATAACACAATTTAGCTTCTTGGCCATTTTATTTTTATTTTTTTTTAATTTATTTATTTTATTTATTTATCTTTGGCTGTGTTGGGTCTTCGTTGCTGCACGCGGGCTTTCTCTAGTTGTGGCGAGCAGGGGCTACTCTTCGTTGCGGTGTGTGGGCTTCTCATTGTGGTGGCTTCTCTTGTTGCAGAGCATGGACTCTAGGTGCGCAGCTTCAGTGGCTGTGGCATGCAGACTCAGTAGTCGTGGCTCATGGGCTCTAGAGCGCAGGCTCAGTAGTTGTGGCGCACGGGCTTAGTTGCTCCGTGGCATGTGGGATCTTCCCGGACCAGGGCTCGAACCCGTGTGCCCTGCGTTGGCAGGCGGATTCTTAACCACTGCGCCACCAGGGAAGCCCTCTTGGCCACTTTAAAGTGTACAGTTCAGTGGCTTTAAGTACATTCACAGTGTTGTGCAACCATCACCACCATTCAACCCCATAAATGTTTTGATCTTGCAAAACTGAAACTCTGTCCTCATTAGACACTCATTTCCCAGCCCCTGGCCCCCACCGTCTACTTTCTGTCTCTGTGGATTTGACTCCTGTAGGGACCCCCTGTGAGTGGAATCAGACAGCATTTGTCCTTTTGTGATGGCTTCTTTCACTGAGCATCATGTCTTCAGGGTTCATCTGTGTTGTAGCAGGTGTCAGAGTCAATTCATAAGCTTTTCATTCAAAACATAAAAAGAAGCAGATGGAAGCCTTGCAGTGCTTTGGAGGGAGCCCACTGCCAGTCACCCTGTAAGTCTTTGCCTGGCATCACTTCTTTCTGGAAGCCTTGCCTAAGCCCAGATGAGATTGGAGTTCTCCTTCTGGGCTTCCTCCAGGGTCTTGGTTTTTATGTCTGCATCTCCATCAGACCCCCTGAAGTCAGGACAGGGTCTGTGCTTCTTGAGCCAGGCTGGGAGCAAGGGGACCCTTGGTGGGCCCAGGGGCCTCCTAGCCAGAGCTGCCGGGGTGGGGGGCAGGGAGGAAGTCTCCCTCCATGGGGTTCCTGGGGGCCAGTGAGTGAGTTGACGTCACCTTGCCCCACCCTCCCTTTTTACACCTGGGGAAACCGAGTCCCAGAGGGAGCTGGACCCCTGCCAGTGTCACTGAGCAGAGCTGAGGCTTGAACCTAGGGCTCCCCCTTGGGTGTGGGGGGAAGGAGGAGAAGCCTGTTCGGTCCCATCAGCCTCCCCTGCAGCCCTCAGAGACCCAGGCAAGCAGCGGTACCAGAGTGGCCCCTCCGCGGGCAGCTGGTGGTCAGGACAGCTCTGCCCACTGAGACCAACCGCAGGGCCCTCCCGATCTACCCCTCTGCCATTTTTTATTTTTTTGGCTGGATTGTATGGTAGTGCTATTTTTTTTTTAATTTTTAAATTTTTTATATAATTTTTAAAGGCTACAGTCCATTTACAGTTATTACAAAATATTGGCTCTATTCCCGGTGCTGTACAAGACATCCCTGTAACCTATCTTACACCCAATAGTTCGTACCTCCCGCTTCCCGACCCTCACGTTGCCCTTCTCCTCCCTCTCCCCTCTGGTAACCACTAGTTTGTTCTCTATATCTCTGAGTCTGCTTTGTGTGTTGTTATACTCACTAGTTTCTTGTATTTTTTAGATTCCACACATAAGCATATAGTAATTGTCTTTCTCTGTCTGACTCATTTCACTCAGCATAACACCCTCCAAGTCCATCCATGTTGCTGCAAATGGCAAAATTTCGTTCTTTTTGACGGCTGTCTCTTCTGCCTTTTTGTTTTGTTTTGTTTTGGGGTTGCACCGTGAGGCATGTGGGATCTTAGTTCCCCGGCCAGGGATCGAACCCGTACTCCCTGCAGTGGAAGCACGGAGTCTTAACCACTGGACCGCCAGGGAAGTCCCCCTCTGCCTTTTTTTTTTTTTTCTTGCGATACGGGAGCCTCTCACTGTTGTGGCTTCTCCCGTTGCAGAGCACAGGCTCCGGATGCGCAGGCTCAGTGGCCATGGCTCACGGGCCCAGCTGCTCCGCGGCATGTGGGATCTTCCCAGACCGGGACACGAGCCCGTGTCCCCTGCATCGGCAGGCGGACTCTCAACCACTGTGCCACCAGGGAAGCCCCCCAACTCAATCCCAACTTGCCCAGACTGAAGGCCAGGGCAGAACAACCCTTCCCAGAGAGAGGGCTGCTGTTTTCCCAAAGGGTTGTCATCATCCAGGGATGGGGCCCTCTTTACAGCCTCCTGGCCGATCTCCCCAGGAGGAAATGAGGATCCTCCACTGCCACTGCTGGGAGGTGCTGGGATCGGCAGAGGCCACACAAGCAGGTCACTGTCCCCCTCCTTCTCTTCACTCACCCTGTAACTTCTCCTCCCAGCCATGTGCCATCTGGGAGCAGCAAGGGTGGAGCTGAAAGATACTGTCCCCAGCACCTGGCTGGTTCCATGACCATAAAATCAAGCCTTCCATTTAACTTCAGAGGAGACCCTGATTCCTGGGGGCGCATGGCACCCCAAGTGGGGCAGAAAGTTCTGGACCCTGAAACCTTCAGAGGACAAAGAGGAAGGCCCAGGAGGTATCTCCAGGGCCCAGGACATCCACAAAGGCTCAGGCTTGAGGGCCAGCATCTGGGGCCCCTCTGGCCTCTGTGAGGCCTCCGTTCTCTCCGCCCCCTGGTCTGTGAGCCAGGCTGTCCTGGAAGCTGCCCTGAGCATTTCCACACCCCCCAGCCCTTCCACCTGGCCTCCTCCCGCTGCCCGATTCCCCATGGCTTCCGTTTCCATCTCCCTTCTGCCCACGGAGCACGCTCTGGGCAGCCCCACTGGGATCTGTGGATGTCTCACCCGCTCCCCCGTCCCATTTCCTCCTCAGCTGTATCATTTGCATGATTTTCCTGCCAGAATTTCGGGAGTAAAGCCCATTTCTCTTGCCCTACTATCGGTGGCAGACAGCCTAGTGGCTCAGAGTATACAGGCCCTGGAGTGACTTCCTGGGTTCCAATCCCAGCTGTGCCCAACGACTGGCTGTGTTACTTCTGCACAAACAGGTTAACCCCAGGGCTTCCCTGGTGGCGCAGTGGTTGAGAGTCCGCCTGCCGATGCAGGGGACACGGGTTCGTGCCCTGGTCTGGGAAGATCCCACATGCCATGGAGTGGCTGGGCCTGTGAGCCATGGCCGCTGAGCCTGCATGTCCGGAGCCTGTGCTCCGCAATGGGAGAGGCCACGACAGTGAGAGGCCCACATACCGGAAAAAAAAAAAAACACCAAAAAAACCCAAAAAAAACAAAAACAAAAAACAGGTTAACCCCTCGATGCCTCAGTTTCCCTGTCTGTAAAAAGGGGCAAAAAGAGCACCTTCCTCCCAGGCTCCCTGTGAGAATGAGAAAAATTAACCCAGATGTTGCCCTCCAAATTGTGCATGGGACCTCATCAGTGCTCAATCATAAATCAGTGTGTGCTTTGTTTTCTTGTGTTTTGTTTTCTCTGAACTTGCACCTCTGAAGTAGGGTTCTTCAGGGACAAACCCCAAAACCGACGTGGCTCTCCCTCAAGGTCCTCGTCACTTCCACTTCCCGGCTTGGTTTCCGGAGCAAGGATCCCTCTCCTGTTCACTTGATGTGTGTGGGGAGTGTGGGAGCAGAGGGGAACCGGGCATGCCCTTTTGACCTTGGAGGAAAAAGTAGCAGCCCAGGCACAGGATTGAGGACCAGAAAGCAGACCTGAGGGGTCAGCTCAGCTCTTGGGTTTCAAAGCAGCCAGGCCCCGTCCCACAGCAGGAGACACTGAGAAAAGGATAGAAAGTTTCTGAGGGGAAACTGGCGTTATCTGGAAAACAGCTCTCCTGCTCCGCCTCCTCCGCGTGTTCCCGCAGTCCTCTCTCTGGGCAGAAATGTCTGGAAAACAATGACTCATGTGCTGGACAGCCGCTGGGGCCACCAAGGCCACGCCCCTGGCCTCCTGAGCTGCCCCAGGAAGGACCCAGCATCCCCAGAGACCCAGCTGGGGCCGAGACTTCCCTGAAGCAGCTTCCTGCAGACGCTTTTTATGTCTATTTTCCGAGCCTCACTAGAGCAGAAGAGCCAGGGAGCTCTTCTCCCTGGACGCACAGGTTTCTTAGGTAGCATGGCCTTCAGGTGCGGCTGGATCCAGAGCTTCTGATGGTGTCCTTGAGACTCTGCTTCTCCTTATCTCTTGGCTCCACCTTCCTCTGTTTCCCTCTGTTTTGGCATCATTTACAGACTCCATGTGGGGACCAGGCTGCTGCCAGCAGCTCCAGACTTACATCAGCCATGCTGCCTGTAGTTCTGGAGTTTAGGGGAAAAAAAAAAAAAAAAAAGAATTTCAGGAATCAGTTCCCAGTGGCTCTGATTGCATCACACATGCTGTTCCCTGAATCGGCCCCTGTGACCAGGGACGTGTGGTGTTTTGATTGGTCAGGCCTGAGGTCATTAGGGGTGTCGTCTTGAGGACCAAGAGTTGAGAGTGGATTGGTTGCCCAGCACAATCAGGGTGGCATTGTAGGAGAAGGAGGAGTGGACGCTGGGCAGGCAGGTACAAGTGATGCTCACCCTGGGCCGAAAAAGGTGCCATGGGAATCTTGGGGAGGGAGCACATCACTCCATCTGTGGGAGTCTGTGAAGGCTTCCCAAGGGAAAGGATATTTGGAGCCGGGCATTGAAGGATGAGTAGGAGTTTGCCAAGTAGCAGCATATAGGGGCGATGCTGAGCTTGTGATCCAGTGCATGTGAAGTAGGCATAGGCAGGAAACTTGATCGTTACTCATGTGTCCCATCTCTGTGTCTAGCGATGGTCCATTCTGCAGGATCTGCCATGAGGGAGCGAATGGGGAGAGCTTGCTGTCTCCATGTGGTTGCACCGGCACGCTGGGCGCCGTGCACAAGAGCTGTCTGGAGAGATGGCTTTCCTCATCCAATACCAGCTACTGTGAGCTGTGCCACACGGAGTTTGCAGTGGAGAAGAGGCCCCGGCCCCTCACAGAGGTATGCTTGGGAGCCTGAGATTGGAGTGGGCAGAGGGGAAGAAGGTAGGCGTGGGGGAGGAGGGAATTGCCCTGGAGGATCCTGGGGGGCTGGGGAAGCAGCTTCTCTATAGGGAGGAACCTCTCTCCTGTCCCCAGGGTCAGTTCTGCTGATGGGGAACCGGGGCTGAGGTTCCAGACCTGACGGACCCTGTGCCTCCTCCCTGTTTTGGTCACTTCAGGTGACCCTAAGGCTTAGACCTGAGGAATGAGAAGGGAGTGCCTAACCTGAGGAAGGGCCGTCCTGGCGGAGGGCACAGCAAGTGCAAAGGCTCTGAGGCCAGGAGAAGCTTGGTGTTTTTGACAATGCCCACGTGGCTGGAGTGGAGCTAGTTAAAGGAGGAGGAGAGTGGCCCAGAAGGAGGGGTAGTGGCCTCGCCGGGGGGCTTTGTGGGCCAAGCCTGGGAGCTTAGACTGTAGCCTGAGTGTGATGGGTGGGGGTTGAGATGGGATATTCCCAGGCATGACGGGAGCCACATGGCTTTCCAGAGCATTGCTGGTTGCCCGGGTGCCCTCCAGGCTCCTCTCTGCCCAGCTTGGCTTGGTGTGGGGCAGCTGAGAGCTGCAGGGGGATGTCACTGTGCCGAGGTGTGGGCTCCTGGAAATGCCCCTGGCCCACCCGGGACATTGGGCTCTTAGGAGAACAGTTGGAGGGAGAGCCAGCCTGCCTGCACTGCTCCCCCCCCCACGCTCCCACCCCAGTGCCTTTGCACATGCTCTTTCTGCAGCCTCGAGCGCTGTCCCCCCCATTCTTCACCAGGCCCCTTCTGCTCATTTGGTCCTCTGTGGTGTCACCTCCTCGGCATAGCCTTCCCCATCTGGATCATTCACCCTGTTTCATGCCTCCCCCGACTAGCATGGGAGCTATGGGCAGGGACTTTTTCCTGCCATCAACTGTGGCAGGCAGTGTAGCATAGAGGCCAAGATGCACAGGTCCTGGGACAAGACTTCCTGGGCTCCAGTCCTGGCTTTGTGGATGACTAGCCATATGAGTTTGCACAAATGGGTCAGCCTCTCTGTGCCCTCGGTTTCCCCCATCTATAAAACAAGGTCATGGGACTTCCCTGGCGGTCCAGTGGTTAAGACTCTGTGCTTCCACTGCAGGGGGCATGCGTCTGATCCCCTGCACGGCCAAAAAAACCAAAGAACCAAAAAACAAAAAACAGGGGCAGAAGTGCCCCGCACCTATCCGGGCCTGGCCTGTCATCGTCATCATCGTCTCCATAAATATTTGAAAGAAGGAACGAACACAGGGAGGTGCCAGGCAGGAGGCTGGTCCTGCAGGGCCCAGTGATGAAGATGGACGTCAGCAGAGGGGGCGGAGGGCCTGGCGGTCCCGCACCCCATCCCCCCGCAGAGGCTCTAGGGAGGGCGGTGCATGACGGTCTCTCTCAGCGGCTCCCCCTCCCTTCTTCCCCGCAGTGGCTGAAGGACCCAGGGCCTCGGACAGAGAAGAGGACACTGTGCTGCGACATGGTGTGCTTCCTGTTCATCACGCCTCTGGCCGCGATCTCAGGCTGGCTGTGCCTGCGTGGGGCCCAGGACCACCTCAGGCTCCATAGCCGGCTGGAGGCGGTGGGGCTCATCGCCCTCACCATCGCCCTCTTTACCATCTACGTCCTCTGGACGCTGGTGAGTGGCTGCCCGCCAGAGAGCAGGCATCTGCGAGCAGTCAGGCCCGGGGTTTGGTCAGTGGCTTGGAGGGGGTGGGGGGCGCCCTGCCTGCCTCGGTTTGCGGCTGGCCCTCGGGTGGAAGCAATTCCCAGCATCTCATGGAGCTCCAGATTCCAAGTTGGTCCAAGGTCCAGGGAGCCAGGCGTGAACCTTCTGCCCCAAGGATACAAGGGCACGTGATCACCTCTGCTGAGTGCAGGCCCCGCCAGCCACGAGCTCCACCAAGACTGTACTGGCAGTGGAGGGGGGGTGAGGGGGTGGTGGGGGGAGAGGCAGAGGGACACCAAAAGGCTGCGGAAGAAAGAGCAGGAGAAAGAGAGACAGAGAGAGAGGACCATCAAGAGACAGAGAAGGGACTTCCCTGGCGGTCCAGTGGTTAAGACTCCACGCTTGCACTGCAGGGGGCGTGGGTTGATCCATAGTCCGGGAACTAAGATCGATCGCCCCACACGGGGGTGGGGTGGGTGCTGAGAGAGAAAATGACTGGGGTTGAGAGAGAGGGAGTGTAGTGGGGTGTTGTCCCCGGCTTCTGGCAGGCATGAGAACCCTCACTCAGAGAGGAAAGGTCCCCAGAGTCTGGCCCCTCAGACAGAACCACTGGCCTCCAGCTGTGGGGCACTCCCTCCTCAAGAATTGTTTCCCAGCACATCCACCAAGCAGGTTTTTTTTTTTTTTTTTTTTTTTGTGGTAGCAGGCCTCTCACTGTTGTGGCCTCTCCCGTTGCGGAGCACAGGCTCCGGACGTGCAGGCTCAGCAGCCATGGCTCATGGGCCCAGCCGCTCCGCGGCATGCGGGATCCTCCCGGACCGGGGCACGAACCCGTGTCCCCTGCATCGGCAGGCGGACTCTCAACCACTGCGCCACCAGGGAAGCCCCAAGCAGGTTTTTTAATACAAGTAGGATGAAATCATAGGTCCTGCTTTGCAGTCTGCTTGTTTTCACTTTGCTAATGTCCTTTAAAAAAAAAAAAGGCAGCCACCCAACAATCCTTGATTGTATGGGCATGCTGTATTTTTTTAACTAATCCCTTTTGATGGATGCTGGGATCATTTCCAATGTTTTTTTTTTTGTTGGTTTGTTTTTTTGTTTCCCTTTTTTTTTGCCGTTATAAACTGTGCTATGGGTGCCACCTGTGCAAATGTTTCTTGGAACTGGATTGGTTAAAGAGTATGAACCATTGACATTTATTGGAAAAAAATGTTTTTTTTTTTAATAGATTTGACTCATTAGAGCAGTTTGAGGTTAAACAGCAAAATGGAGCAGAAAGTAGAGTTCTCCAAAATCCTCCCCCACACCTACAGAGCCTCCTCCACGATCAGCAGGGCACCAGAGCAGTGCATTTATCGCAGTCGATGAACCAACACTGACACATCATCACCCCCAGCCCATAGTTTACATTAGGGGTTCACTCTTGGTGTTGAACAATTTGTGGGTTTAGACAAATGTATAATAACATGTATCCACCATTAGAGTGTCATACAGAGTATTTTCACTGCCCTAAAACCCCTCTGTGATCCTCCGGTTCATCTCTGCCTCCCCCAAGCCCTGCTAACCACTGCTTCTCTTACTGTCTCCATAGTTTTGCCTTTTCCAGAATGTCCTATAGTTGGAATCATGCATTCTATAGCCTTTTCAGTGAAAGCACCGAGTCCTAACCACTGGACCGCCAGGGAATTCCCTGTAGCCTTTTCAGATCTGCTTCTTTCCCTTAGTCATATGCATTTAAGGTTCCTCCATGTCTTTTCATGACTTGATAGCTCATTTCTTTTTGGTGCCAAATAACATTCCATCGTCTGGATGTCCCACAGTTTATTTATCCACTTACCCACTGAAGGACATCTTAGTTGCTTCCACATTTTGGCAGTTATGATCCATTGACGTTTGGCCCCTTCCAAGAGGCTTTATCATTTCACTGCCACCCTCTGAGAGACAGAAGGGGATGCCCCCCTTCCACACACACACACACACACACACACACACACACACACACACACACAGACCCTCTCACCTTTGCAGGGCCCTCAGTGCTGGTGGGGAGGTTCCCCAGGTGAGGGAATGGGTGTGTGTGCACTGTCTGTGTGAGAAATGCCCAGATGCTGCCCCTGCTTCTGCAAGCAGGAGCCTGGTCCTGGTTAGGTCGCGGCAGATGCCTCAGGGGCCCGCTTTTCCTCTCTCGGGGGTAGAGACTGTATGGCCAGAGGCTGGCCCTCCCAGTGATCTCCACCCTGCCCTGCAGGTCTCATTCCGCTACCATTGCCAGCTGTACTCCGAGTGGAGAAGGACCAACCAGAAAGTACGCCTGAAGATCCGGGCCACCGATGGCCCCGAAGGCACTCAGCACTCCCCTCTGGCAGCTGGGCTCCTGAAGAAGGTGGCAGAGGAGACGCCTGTGTGAAGGCCGGGCTGGCAGGGCCAGAGGCAGCTGGCGATGCCCTGGTGTTTGGAAGGACAGAAATTGCCCGACGCTTCCGCACGGCTGGAATGCTTCTTAGGCCAAGAGATGCCAAAGTGGAGCTGATTCCGTGATTCCTGTGTGAAGCTATTCTCAGATCGTTTTGCACACTCTTACACACGAGGAGAACAGACGGACGTGGTCCCGAGCTTCGGATGGAGCAGGCACCCTGATCTCATTCTGAGGTCTACCTGGCCCCTCCTGGGCCAGCAGCCATGGCCAGAGGCGAGTCGCGGGCACCCATTGAGCTGGGAGGTTCCGCAAGCTTCTTGCACTTTTCTGCACCTGGCAGGCTCACATTCCCGGCACCCTCAACTTTATAAAGTTGCACCGTGTTTCAAAACCCACCCCCCTACCCCACCCCACCCCCAATGAATAAAAGGAGCCCTTGCTGGTCAAAACGGACCTGTCAGTCACGTTTCTGAGGCCTCAAAGTGAGGGCATGGGGACCAAGGGGAGTCAGGACCACACAGAGCTAACAGCAGCAACAACCAATGCTCTCGGCTGGTTTGAGGGATCACAGGGCTAGAAGCAAAGTGCGAGTTTTCAAGTGAAGAGCAGGTAGCAGGGCTATGTATTAAATGATTTAAAATAAATATACATAAGAATAGTGTCTACTTCCTGTGTGTCTCCCGTGGGTCAGATACCCCGCTGGGCCCTTACTCACTAACAAGTAATGTCCACACTTACCGAGGGTCACCCTGAACAGGGCCCAGTACTTTTTTTTTTTTTTGGCCACATCATGCAGCATGTGAGGTCTTAACTCCTCAACCAGGGATCGAACTCTCGCCCTCTGCATTGGAAGCACAGAGTCTTAACCACTGGACCGCCAGGGAAGTCCTGAGTTGTAGTTTGGTGCTAGGCTGACTTTCATGACCCTTAACCCTAGCAGAGAGAGAGCAAGTCTTAGACTCAGATCCTTTGGCAGAGCGTATGACTGAATTTACACTTTAATAGCATCATTCTCTTATTTATTTTTTACAATAAGCTATTTATAGTAGGGTTTCAATGTGGGCTGTGAGGTAAAGCAACATTTTAACATCCTTTTTTTCTTTGACTGCACTGGGGGGCTTGCAGGATCTTAGTTCCCCAACTAGGGATCGAACCCAGGCCTTGGCAGTGAGAGGGCAGAGTCCTAACCACCAGACCGTCAGCGAATTCCCAAAACATCCTTCTTTTAAAGAAAATAAAGTGTCAGTTACAGGAAAGAGTGAAGGAATTAATAGTGCAGGCAATGGCTAAACCCAGGAATCTGGGCAGTGTTGGATTAAATCAACCAGCCTATAGAGGAGCACAGCCTAGTAGAAAGTTTGTCTCCTCAGCCTGGGCTTGGCTTGTGGCTCATCTCCAGTCACACCCACTGCCGGAGAAGGGATCAGAGAAAAGGTGGCTTCTTGTTCCCGCTGCTTTGTATTCGGCCTCCTCTCCATGATTCTGACAGACTGCTGTGGCCTCTTCTGCTATTTCTGAGCCCTGTTGGGCGAGGGAATTCAGAGATTCATGAGGCTTCTTCTGGTCCAGGGGCCCCTCTGGTCTAGAGAGATCTAAGGGGGAGGGGGGAACTTCCCTGGCTGTCCAGGCCAAAAAAAAAAAAAAAAGAGAGAGAGAGAGAGAGAGAGAGGTCTAACAGGGAGGAAAGGAAACAGATTCCAGTGGGACCATGTGAAGAGGGTTGGTGTGCACAGGGGATTTTAGTAGATCAGAGATTTCCGGGGGGAGGGGGCGGGGTGGGTGGGTGGAGATGAGAGGAGGGGCTTGCAGATGGGCAAGAGAAAGGAGTTCTGAGACAGGTGAGTCCGGGAAGTTCTTGGGAATGGGAGCTGGAAAGAGAGGGTGGGGCCTATCCTCTGCCTTAGCCTGGGCTATTGGACTTATTCTCTGGGCCTGGAGTTCTCAACCTGGCTGGATTAAGTATTTAATTTGGAGGAAGGTGTGGCAGGTGAGATAGTTCCTCAGAGCTAGATGAAATGTAGTTATTTTGTGAGATAGGGGGAAAAAACCCCATTTTTCCCATTGTGAGCTTAGAGTTTGGTGGTTAGATGGGAACTTCTTCAAGATCCAGTGAAGCATTTATTTCAAAGTACCAGAGACAACAGAGACCAGGGGTGGCTGCTGGGTAAGGGAGCCTGAGACCTCTGAATGCTGGGGGCTCTGGCCTCTTCCCAGGCCACTGTGGCTGTCCCAGGACATGGTCCTGTAACAGCCCTGAAAACCCATTTGGGGACAGGGCCAAGCTCTCAGGGCAGAGGGAACCCACGGTCAGGCAGGAAGGAGCCTCCACCATGTTTGGCTTCTTGCTTGTTCATTCACTCAAGAAACATTCATAAGCACATTCAAAGTCTCCAGCTAGGCGGCTGGTTGTGGACGGCTGTTAGTGAGAGAGACCTAGGCCATGGGCTCTGCACCCAGGACTTCTCAGAGTGGTGGGGAGACAGGTCGGATAGAGCCCAGATATTCTTGGTGCAGGACGATACTTGCTTAGAGAGAGAGCATTTTACACATTTGTCCTACGGCCTGGTCCTTCAGTGTCCTACCCTTGCCTGCCTAACTCCTTTCTAGCCTAGTAAACAGAACTTTCGCTGCCCTTCTGCCCTAGCTCTGATTACAGAAAGCTGGGAGTGACGAGGTCCACGTGTGGGGGGTGGAGAGATGGTGCCTCTACCAGACCTGGAAAGCGGATGGAGTATCCAGTAGGCGCCAAACGCAAGTTAGTTGCGAGAATGAATTAGTAACAGCTGACGGTGCGCGCCTGCGCGCGGCGGGGGCGTGGCCCGGAACAGGGGCGTGGCCCGGGGCTGGAGGGAAGGAGGCGGGAGGCCGCCGCGGCGCGGGCAGACGTTACTGGTCGCGCTGGATCACGTGAGCACGCAGGCGCAGCGCCGCGCATCCCGCTCGCTCACACAAAGCCCAGACGCGGAGAAAATGGCGGCAGGGGTCGAAGCGGCAGCCGAGGTGGCGGCGACGGAGCCCAAAATGGAGGAGGAGAGCGGCGCGCCCGGCGTGCCGAGTGGCAACGGAGCTCCGGGCCCGAAAGGGTGAGTACTCCACGGCTCCTTGTCCCTGGCCGGGCACTTTTGCGGCGGCCGGCGGCGGCTCTGGTAGGTCTTGGCGGCTTCCCACCGGCGCGGCCTCGGCCGGGCTTTCCCCTCAGGGTCTGCCGAGGGTGGGGGCCGCCCAGGTCGTGAGGGATGAAGCCGGGCGGCCCCGGGAGCGCCTCTAGGACAGCTCCTTCTTCCCAGGCCTCGGGCCTCAACTCCCCCGGTCCCTCCAGGCCCGGTCCGACCCCGACCCCGACGCAAAGGCCTCAGGCCGGGCCTCTGCGCGCGGGGATGATGGCGCGCGGGCCGCGGAGCCGATGAGCCCCGGAGTCCGCGACCAGCTCGCCTGCCGAGTGACCTTGGTTGGGCGCGTGGTTTCACGTCTCTCCGCAATGGCCCGGGGCCTCAGTTTCCCGATCGGTAAAGTGGGGGGAGGGGAGGGATTGCGCACGCAGGATCTCGCCCGTTGTCGGTCCGGGTAAACGGTAGCAGAGGCGGGTGGGTATCGGGAAGGACCGCGAGGCCGGCTCCGGGAGCCTCCTCCCCCCCCTCCCGCCCCCCGGCGCGCGCCGTTCCCCTCCTCTCCAGCCCCCCCTCCCCCGTCCCCGCGATAAGTGCCTCTGTCGGAACCGCCCCTCGTTCCACACTCTGCCCACGGCTCAAGTCCCTTACCTCCTCCCCAGGTGCGCAGTAGGTATTTGTGGAGAGATCGGACCTGCTGCTCAATGTTTAGCCGTAGAAACAAACTATAGGGAGAAAAGAAAAAAAGGAAACATTCTCTTCCGTGTTCCAGGGGAGGATTTTTCCATCATCAGGCGGGTTCACCCATTTCCAAGCTCCGTCACCCTTTCAGTCCTGTTTAGAGGTCTGTCTCGGGTCCTCGGTTTTTAAAGTTTCCATAAAGCTTTAAAGCATCACCTTATGTCCCCTTGAACCCCATTCATTCTGATTACAGGCGCCTGAAAGATGGAGAGACGTTTTGCCTCCTCCTGGCAGCTGTTGGGGGGAGGACAGGGGGAGGCTGGGCACACATTTGATTTACCACGTACGTTTTTTAAAAATTGTGGTAACATACGTAAGGTGAAATTTACAGTTCTAGTCATTTTTAAGTGTACGATTCTGTGGCATCAACTGCATTTGCGGTGTTGTGCAGCCATCACCAGTATCCACATCCAGAACTTTTTCATCATGCCAATTAAACAGTAACTTCCTCTTCTCCCCCTCTCCTGGTTACCTGTGTTATATGTTCTGTCTCCTATGAATTTGCCTTCCCACACATTTTTAATTGGAGTTCGTGGGGATTAAAAGTGAATGTAGTTAAAACGCTTTGTTAATGAACACTCACTAAATACTAGCTATGTTGTTGAACTTTCTCTCCTTAGGTGGGGAGGAACAAAATACCGTGGTTACTGGTCCTTGGAAATCAAGAGAAAGGCATCTTAGAAGTATTCCCAACCCTTTATTATTGAAAACTCTGGAAAGGGATGTGTTCATTTAAACTTTTTTCATTACCTATTTCCTTTATTTCTTTATCACAGGATGGAGTGCTGCTAGAATCGTGCTAGGTGAGAAGTTATTAGTTATAGATTATAGCATCTGGGGTACATTTTTCAACTTTCCCATTTTCCACTGTCCATTTCCAAATAGTCATTTTGTGACGAACGTTAACACATGGGCTATTAGAAAGAATCTGAAGGTTTCAGAGCTAAAAGAGCCCTTGTTGGAAAGAACCTCAAAGCCTAGGACTGCTTAGTAGAGACTGTTTTAGAAAGTTACGAACACTTAGATCTGTTTGGGAGGGCCATTGGAAAAGTTTGTGTTCGTGGTGTTTTTTTTGCATCACAGAGTTTTTAAAGCAGAGTTCTTTAGAAAACAAAGCCCCTCCCCCCACACAGGGAAGGCCAAGGAATATTTTTGTAGTAAAGTAATTGTTCTGTGGTATTAGTAAAAGGAGTTACTAGGTAGGGAGCATGGAGGGGCTCCCCTCCCCCCAACCTAACCTGCTGGGGGCAGTTAAGAGGTGTTCCTCTAGGGGGAGGAGGATGAAAGATGATGGAGAGAGGCACAGGAGAGAGTCCAAAGACTAGGGATTTTTATGTATTTATATATTTGATAACGTATTTATAAAGAACCCAAACTGCTGGAGCACTGGGGGCCAGCTGGTGGGCAATGAATTCCAGACTAAGGAATTTAGATTTTTATCTTGAAAGCCTTTGAGGAATGGGAAATGAGTGAGACTGGATTCTTCTTACCTTTGTCTCCACCAGGAGTGGAGTGTGCTGTAAACCAAAAAGGCAGTGAGATAGCAAGCTTGATGAGGACCCCAGATAGGACAGCTTGTTTTGCAGTTCCTTTTCTTCTGGGTATAAGAGGAGGATTTGTTTTATTTTGATGAGAAATCTGTTCCATCTAAAGACAGTCAAGGGACTTCCCTGGTGGTGCAGTGGTTAAGAAGCCGCCTGCCAGTGCAGAGGACACGGGTTCAATCCCTGGTCTGGGAAGATCCCACATGCCGCGGAGCAACTAAGCCTGTGCGCCACAACTACTGAGCCTGCGCTCTAGAGCCTGCAAGCTGCCACTGCTACTGAAGCCCGCGTGCCTAGAACCCGTGCTCTGCAACAAGAGAAGCCTCCACAGTGAGAAGCGCACTCACCACAACTAGAAAAGCTTGCATGCAGCAGCAAGACCTAATGCAGCCAAAAATAAATGAATAAAAAAAAAATTAAAAAAAATAAATTCTGAAGTTAAAAAAAATAGTCAAGATTCAGAGTTAGAGTATATTAGTCAGGAGGTAAAAGCGTTTATTTTAGAGGACTATGTAGGCTTAGGTTTGATTTTTTTTTTTTTTTTTTTAATTTAAAATTTTATTTTTTAAAAATAAAGCTTGCACTGTCCATTTATAATCAGTGACTTAACCTCCACTTTCAGAGTAACCTTGTGGCTGAATCAGAAAACTGAGAGAGAGGCTATTTTAAAAATGAAACTTTGTATTTAGTATAAATTCCTGGGGATGTAATGTTAGTGTTGACACTTTTACAGTCAAGAAAAACTTTTTTTTTTTTTTTTTTTTTTAAACAATTGAGAAGACCCAGGTTAAGGAAATTGACCCAAAGAATCTGGGGGAGGCCATCTTGACTCCAGGTCCTTTGCTGCTTCCACACACCACCCTGGTAACCTCTCACTGAACACAGTTATTTAAAATGTTTTTTTTTTAACCAGATTGCTTTGCAATGACTTGAGTGTTTGCTGTACTTTAAAAAGTGATGGTATACTTGATAATAATTTTGAGGCACATTTGATTGTGAGCTCAAGATTAGAATAGGGGCTGTAGGTTGTTTGAATGCATGCTGCCAGCTCTTTGCTTTCACTTTGCTCTTTGATTTTATTCTTGGCTAGGCAGGGAGTTGCTAGTCTGCAAAGATTAGGTTGCTTGTTTCGTTTAGGAGTTCGCAGATGGTCTCTCCCATTACCATGTTTTGCAGTCATAGAGGTGAAAGCTGAATTGCTCCTTTGGTAGTCTGTAATGAGTACAGTGCCTAGGTTTCCTCAGCCACGGCCCCAGTGGGCTTATTTTAAAGCCTAATCAGTATGTGCAATGGTAGAAGGCAAGGAGTGAATCATTCTCCAGAAAATTTTTGGTACAAAAATATATCATTGCCACAGTTAGTGTGCCAAGTCTCTCCTTTAAACTTGTTGGTGTGGATAAGTAACCTCCTTGCACAGATGAAGGAACTGAGGCCTGACAAAGAGTTGGTGACATTGGGGTTCAGACCTAGATAACCCTACCTCTTAGTCACCCGTAGTACTGCTCCCTTAGGTATTGTGCTTAACATTTACCAACCTGCTTTTTGTTAGGCTGATTGTTGATTCTCACGACATCCCTGTGAGCTACATGGATACAGGTTATGCTGGTTTTGCTGGTAAAGAACCAGAGATGGAAAGAGCTTAAGTCACGTGGGTAGTGAAGAGGTGGACCTGGAGCTAGAATAGTGCTGTGAATAGTGCTCTCCACATCTTAAATGCATTAGGGGAAACTCAGGATTGAAAGGATTTCTGTGAAGAGTCATTTTACATAAGGGATGGTTCTCAAGGGAATATGGGGGGTGGGGGAGTCTTTTCCCTCAGGAGATGTGGTCAGGATTTCAAGGTATCGGGGTTGCCGTTTCAAACTACACTTGATTGAAAAACTGTGAGAATAATGAGAGTATTTTACGTGAGAGGGAATGCCATGGAGGCGTAAGGGAGGGTAGGGATTCACTGTTTTACATGGTGAATGTGGCAGCCCTTGGTGAAGTAGGCAGGCACTCAGTCTTTTTACTTGTGATCTTTATGTACAGTATAATTCTAGTATGGTGGAGCAGTGACATGTTAAATTATCAATTTTCAAAGAATGCAGTCAGTGAAACAATTCCAAAGCCATATTAAACATACTTAATCTTATTTTAATGACTTGAGAGGTTCTTGCAGATACTTTGGCCTTATCTTTATTGATGTATCATGAATTAGGTTGATAGAATGTCAGAAAAAGTTTTTTAACATATTGGGTCTATTTAGAACTTCAGGTAGATGATTGGGTGCTAGAATCAGATGGGGTGTTCATTGGGAATCGGGAGCCACTTAGCAAGGAGAATATTGGTAAGGCATTTAGCTTGCTTAGGTAGCTTCAGTTTCTTTGAAAGATGACAAATTTGTTAGTTTATATGGGAGTTACAAGTCAAGTTATATTGGGGTTAGTTACAAGTCAAGTTATATTGGGGTTAGGTTTGAAATTTAAGAAACTAGTGGAAACTTAAAAAGTGTATAATTGGGGCTTCCCTGGTGGCGCAAAGGTTGAGAGTACGCCTGCCGATGCAGGGGACACGGGTTCGTGCCCCGGTATGGGAAGATTCCACGTGCCGCGGAGCGGCTGGGCCCGTGAGCCATGGCCGCTGAGCCTGCGCGTCCGGAGCCTGTGCTCCGCAACGGGAGAGGCCCGCGTACTGCAAAAAAAAAAAAAAAGTATAATTGGCACAATAAACTGCATAAGTTGGAAGTGTACGATTTGATACCTTCACTTAATCAAGATAATAAATACAACCTTAACCCCCTTTGCTCGCCCTTTGTAATCCTCTGAGTCCTTTTCTTCCCCACCCCCAGGCCATCAGTATGCATCAGTGGTTCTCAGTGGGGTGATTTCTTCTTTGCCTTCAGGGGACGTTTGGAAGTGTCTTGGAGATATTTTTGGTCTTCATTTTCAAGTCTGAGGAATGGGGCTGCTACTGGCCTCTCTTGGGTAGAGGTCAGGGATGCTGCTGAACATCCTACAGTGCACAGGGCAGCCTCCCACAACAAAAGGATTATCTGGCCCCCAAATATCAGTAGTGTTTGAGGTTGAGAAAACCCACTATAGATTAGTTTGCCAGATTAGATTTTCTCAAATATAGTTGTATATGATGAAATATTACCATATGTACTCCTCTTTTGTCTGATTTTGAGTGTAAGTATTTTGAGATTCATCCACTTTGTGTGTAGTTCATTACTTTTTGCTGAGTAGTATTTCAGTGTATGGATATACTATAGTTTATTCATTTACCTGTTAGTAGACATTTAGATTTCCAGTTTTGGGATATTACAAATAATGTTGCTATGAGCATTCGGGTCTAAATTTTTGTATGGATATATTTTCTTCTGGGTAAGTATCTAGTTGTGGATAATGTATGGTAGGTGTGTTTTAACATTTAAGATTCTGTAATCTAAATTTGGGGTATTTAGGATAAAGCAGTTTATTTCATCAGTGTAGCTAAATTATAATCTACCTATAAAAATGTGCTTCTAAAAGATTTTCACAGTTAAGTGTTATATGTATTTTAGGGCTAGAAGCATATTCCCCTAATTTTATCCCGAAGGTAAGTGAGAAAACTGAAATAAACATTTAATAAATGGGCTTTTCTTAAACTGTCACATCATCTATACTTGAACATGTGTCACGTGAGGTTTCTTTGAGGGTGGTTTTCTACAATTCTGTCAAGAATAGAGTTGATGGTGATTATTAGAGTTACAAAAAGGTCAATTTTTTAAGAAACTGGAAATGATGAGATAGGAGGAAACTTCTCAGAGAGAGGAAATGATTAACCAGAGAAAGACTTGGGTGCAGTAGTGCTTTGCTCACACCTTGGCCATAACCCATTTGAGCTGCTTTCTTGATGATGAGCCGTGTGATGTGGATTAACTCCAAACCAAATCCCCAGCTTCTGGGGTTAGATTGGGTAGTTTATTCTTAGCAGTAATGATGCATGGCAGAATATGGCCTAGACACTTTGTTACCGACTATGTCTTGTAATTCGTTATTTACACATTTTGTAACTAATAAGGTGAGCTGGGCAGTCTTTGAAAACCCAGGCTGGAAGCATTACTGTGTCATGAACCCTGTGTCAGAATAATGTTTTTTAAGGTAGATTGTAGAATATTTGGGTTTCAAAAGAAACCAGTTCTAAAATATATTCCTACCCACAGACCCTCTATGAAATGTAGGTTGATCTACATTTTATGAATTGTTGTAACACACTTCCTCCTTATGTAGGGAGGGTGAGATGCATGTTCTGTCTGGCAGACGGGTGCAGGGCTTTCATATGGAGTGGATGGGTGGACTGTGCTTGCGGTGTGCAGTCAGCCTGAGGAGGGTCTGTTGTGAGCCTGGGTAGACAGAGTGAAGAATTCTAGGAATCTGGGGATTGGTGTGGCCCTACTCCCCCTCCCCCATCTGCCAGCCCATGTGAAGGAGGTCTGTTTATTGCATGTTGGTATAGTTCAGATCATAGAGGAAGTTGCTTTCCTTAGTTTTACCTAGGGTGATAACTTCACTGGGTTACCACTTGGCACGGCTGTGTTTGGATATGAGGGACCAGTAGAAAAAAATACTTTGGGGACTACAAAAGGTTGCTGACTTAAATTTTTCCAAGTACACTGAAAATCCTCCAGCTACCATTGATGTTTGAACAGTACCCCTCCCCCACACAGGGAAGACATATCCTAGAATAAAGATCAACCCTTTACGTTAAAGAAGGTGGTCTTATAAATCATCAATACTGTAATCTTGACTTTTTGTTTTCTTTCCGTTTTTGTTGTGGATCACAAAGTCTCTGCTAGAATCTGTAGTTTGGGAGTCCCTTGATTCTCACTGGTGGAAAGCATAGGGCTTGGGAAGCAGAAAGTGCTGGACTTAGTGCCCTGAGAGGACTTCTGTGGCTGCTGCCTCCCCAGTTGTTCCTGGTCAGCTCTCACAGGTGTCTGCCTATGGTCAAAGGGGGCTCGGAACAGCCACACGCAGCCAGCACAGGGCCTTGCCCTGCTGTGCACACCCTGTCTGGTTCCTGGGCTATGGATTGGGCTTCCAGCCTGTCTGGTTCTGTGCTTTGGGAGCCTGCATTTCTTGTGAAACTTTTCCTGCCCACTCTTAAGCCAGATTCGTACCTGTAGAGCTTAGAAATGTTACTCCATGGAAGCACCTAACACACAAAGGTAAAGAGTATTACAGGAAAGGCCATGTCAGAAAAACAAATCCACCCTTCTTTGCCAAAGGTGGAATTGTTTGCGTGCTGTCTTTTACCTACCAGCGTTGTTCAGACTTCAGTTTCCCTAGCCTCAAAGTAATAGGGTTGAGTAGAGAATGGTTTCTTTCCCTTAAAAATTTTGTTTTTAAAAATTGTGGTAAAATATATGTAAATTTTGCCATTCTAAAATGATTACGTGTACAGTTTAGTGGCATTAGGTACAGTGTTGTACACTATGCCAATAGCCACTCGCCATTTCCAGAACTTTTTTCTTTTATCATCCCGAACAGAAACTCTGTAGCCATTAAACAGTAACTCGCCATTCCTACCTCTCCCCAGTCCTTGGTAACCTCTATTCCTTTTGTCTCTATGTCTGGCTTATTTCACTTAGCATAATGTTTTCAAAGTTCATCTGTGTTGAAGCATGTATCAGCACTTCATTCTTTTTTTATGGCTGAATAAGTAATATTCCATTGTATGGATCTACCACATTTAGTTTATTTCATTCATCTGTTGGTGGACACTTGGGTTGTTTTCACCTTTTGCTATTGTGAATAATGCTGCTAATGGTGTACAAGTACCTGAGTCCAATTTTTTTCCGCCCACAATGAAAGACACTTTTATTTGTAAAGCTAAGATTGGTTGGACCTATGTGTACCACCTCATTTCTGTTCCATGAAATCTTATAAATCTTCCTTCTCTTTTCCTGTTTCTGTCTTGGCGTTAAAGCACCTTGGGCGGGGAGTTGGCCTGTCTCCCCCACCTCTGTTAGAGCCCCACAGGAGTGTGTGAAGGCCTAGGAAAGCACACTTGTCTTGGGAATGATTTTTTTTGATAGGTGGGTTTTAAGGAGCGTACTACTGCAATATTCTGCTGTATGGACCACTTTAGTTTGTCTCAAATCAGAATCAATATTAGTCTTGTGTTACATGTAACTTTGGGATTGTAAACCTGGAAAATCAAATATTGTCTTTAGTATTGTGCTAACATATGGACTTTTTTTCCCCCTCTCTTTTGAATTCAGTGAAGGAGAACGACCAGCTCAGAATGAGAAGAGGAAGGAGAAAAACATAAAAAGAGGAGGCAATCGCTTTGAGCCGTATGCCAATCCAACTAAAAGATACAGAGCCTTCATTACAAACATACCTTTTGATGTGAAATGGCAGTCACTTAAAGACCTGGTTAAAGAAAAAGGTAATGGTACTGGTGGTTGAGTAGGGTCAGAAGGTTGGTGTGTCATCTTCTCTGTGGATAATTCCTTGGTTATTTTTTTGTCAGTGAAGCTGTTCTGGGTAGAGCATGTGTTCTCTCCAGGCTTGAGAGTGAAGCCCCCCCATCCTACTTTTTTATTTTTACTTTTTGTGGTCATGCACTTGTGTGTCAAACAGGTTGTTTGTTTGATCCCTTGGCCTACGAATGATTTTACTGGCTTAATATGGTTAATAGGGCTTTGATTAAGCTTGAGGGGAGCCTCTTTGTGTTAAGGAAATTTTTTGAATTCTTCATATGAGGTGGGAGAAATTTTTTCTTTTTCCTTTTTGTTTTAAAGTTCTGGCGGGAAGGTAGTTTGTTTAAATTTTGTGGCTGTCTTCCTGGGATCAAAAGTTGGTAGCTGGAACTTGTGCTGCTCGGATCCTAAATTATAAAACCGTAGCTTGTATTTAAACTGTTAGGCTTCCCCACCCTGGGGAGGAAAACACAGAGTAGATTGGCAATTGGATAGCTCAAAATAAAGCATCTGCTGTGTAATTTGGTGCCTTTAGGCACACATCGGTCACAGCCCTGGTGTTAAAGTCTGGCCTAGGGCAGAGGAAGCAACTGAATGAAGCTCTGCTGCCACCAGGAGGTCCTAGGGGGTTGGTTGCCCCCATGGTCCTCTGCTTTACCCACCCCCCAACCCCCATTCCCACCCCCACCCCTGTGCACACCACGTGTGTCTTTCTTTTCATACTCTTGTTCTGCTTCTTTTGTCGTCTTTTCCTGATTCTGGGCCCTGCTGGTGGCACACAGGGCTAAAGAGATTGCTCAGCCCAGGTTTAAACAAAATTATTGATAGAGAACCATTTGTGTAATGCGTTGAGGTCTCCCCTCACCCCTACCCCAAGGGAAACCTAGAATCAAATTATTCTTAAATGGAGTCTTTTTGAAGGACTGAAAGGTACTGGTTTTTCTGGAGCATTCATAATGAAAAGAGATTTGAGCTTGATTTGTCAAATGATTAACATTTCAGTGACAGATGCCACTTGGATAGGCCATTTTGGTATGTGTACTGGTGCTCCCAGCATTGGGTTTTGAAATTATGAATGGCCCACTGCCATCATTGTCCCATCACTTAATTCAACCATGACATGCCAGAAGCACTAGGCACCATGAACCTCTGTACAGTCATGTAGGCTGCTCCCCTGTAGTATTTCTCCAGGTAACATGGATGGAAAAACGTTTTGGTGTGAGATTTGTTTTCCTGCCTTGATCAGCCAAATCATTCCTGCCAATGCTCCTAGGGCAAGAGTGAAGTTTCTTCTTTTTGTCTGAAGGGCGTGTCATGTGGCATCCCAGATGCAGTGTTCTTGGTTTTTGGGACTGCTGCTTCAATAAAGCTTAGAATTTCTGTACAGTACAGTTGGGTCTCATTCGAATTAGTTTCTGGAATAACCCCAAATTTGTGTTCTCGTGATTTGGTTGAACCGCTGAATTGATACTTCCATTGATAATAAGGTATAGTAGTTCCAAGAACCAGGAATGTGGCTTTGAAAATGCAATTGTTAGAATTTTGTAAGAGATTGCAGGCCAAATTATTTTTCCATTTTTAGGAGTGTGTGAACCAGTTTTGGGACATGATGGATAAAGTAGGTGACATTTTTACTGCTTTACCATTCAGTAATTCAGTTTTGGAAGCCTTAAAGCTGGTAGCAGCAGCAGCCATGACGTTTCTGGATGTAGAAGCAGTTCACCTCAATTTCCTATTTTGCACTGTATTAAGTGTGGAGCCAGCCTGGTGGTTTATTCGGATACTTCCAAACTGGTTCTCATATTCCCTTGGCATACTGCTATTAATGCCCTGGCTCAGCCCTTTCAGTGTATTTTTGGTGGTGTAATTTAGAATTACAGGTGTGCAGTAAATCAGTTATTCTTAACAAACCTTAAAATGTTCTTGTTTAGAGCTCCCCTGTACAGGTTAATTACTTTCCTGTTTAATTAAATTATTAGAAGTATTGGATTGTGGTTAAAGGGATGCATAAGAGAAAGGTAATCTTTTTGTGGTAAATCTTATACTCAGTATGTGAAGTCTAAAGAAATTTACTGTTTACATACGTACGGTTTCTTAAAAATGTCCTTATTTTCATTATGTGGTTTTAAAAAATATTTTAATTCATGTCTTGGTATACCAAAAATATGTTTCAATTATTATTTGAAATCTGAAATATTTACTTGAAATGGCGTTGCACATGTTTTAAGGTTTTTGAAGACTGTTGTTGCATAGGAAAAAAAAGTTGCGGATAGAGGCACTCACACTCTAAAAGTATAAGTCTCAAGATAGTCTCTGAAGTGGGCAAACCACAGAGATTTGGGCTGTTATAATCCAACCACTCTTTATCAGTCTGCATTTCAAGAGTCTATTCCGGATGAAATCATAGTCCTGTTGTTTCAGGAAACTAGTGGAATAGCTAGAATTAGTTGTCCTCGGCTTAAAGATCTGAAAAATGCTCTGTCATTGCAGCACTGCCTGTAATTGCTGCCTGTCAGAACTCAAGTAGTAGCTTTGAGATGGCAAGACGAGTTTTTTTCCTAAGGATAATCATGCCTGAGAGTGCCTCATGTACCCCTCCCTAGTTCCCGATCTTTTCCCCCTCCTTGGACACCAAGTGTATATTCTCCATGTTTGTTAGCATTTAACAGCCTTCTAGGAGATCCTATTAATAACGCATGTATTCTGTGAACAGGCCACTTATGCCTTTTCCCCTGGATGGGATCACAAAGCTTGTTTGGTGGCACTATCATGAAATCAGCATTGCTGACTTTAAAGAGAAAAGGTACTGAGAGCTTTGTTTAGTTCTGTGCCAGGGTGCTTCCCCCGCCCCCTCCCCCATCATATCATTCAGGGACAAGGATTAAACAGCCTGCAGAATTGAGCTTGAGCTTTCCCTGAGCTTTCCCCTTCCTGCTCTAAGTGTCTGATGGAGCAAAGGAAAGGTTTCTATTGTCCGTCCTTTTGATCATGCTTATTTTTAACGGAGATACTACATGGAACGATGACTGCTGTGAACACTGAAGAGTGGATTTGAAACAAAAATTGAGAGCCAGTGTAATAGGAAATTTGAATTGGAGATTGCCAAACCAGGTTTGAAAGTAAACAGTCTCAACAGCTACCTCATTTTCATCACTGGATCGATATTGGGATACACATCTCAAAAATGTTTGACCATAAGGTCTGGGCGAAAAATTAAGACTTCCGTGAACAAAAGGTGATTGATCTTGGGAATTCTAAACTTAAATAGTGTTGTGCTGCATTACTGAGAAGTCCTGTGTGGATGAAGAAAGCTCGTCGTCGGGCTGTTGTTCTCCTGGCCTAACCAGGGAGCCAGCAGCATTGAGGTGGGGCAGCTGCAACCTAGGCAGGACTGAGCTGCACGAGCAGTGAGTAAACATGGAGAACAGTTTGAGGAGGAAAGAAAGGAGGGTCAGTGATACAGCTTACTCTCAATCAGTCTCAAGTTCAGCAGCAGTCAGTTTAACTTGTGTAAGCAAAGATTTCTTAAGAACTTAATCCTTCTGTTTTTATTGAGTACATCACTTTAAGTTAGTTTCAAATTCCAGCTGACAGAAAACTGAGGCCCAGAGGGCAAGTATAGTCCAATAGTAAGTCTCTGTTGGCTCTCGAAGATCATCTACATTGTGGGTCTGTGGAGCAGAACTTTATTTTCAATTTAAGTAAAAATCCCTACCCAGTCTGTTTGGCTCCTTCATATTTTCCTTTGTTGGAAATTCAGCCTGCGTTTTGGAAAGGCCTGTTGATGCTAAAGCATTCACATCTGTGGGTACTTGGGTTGAACCTTAATAGTGCAGCCTGCCTGGCTTATTTGTTGGTTTTTGGTCGAGTTAGAGAGGCAGAATTCTGTTCTCGTCCATGGAATTAGGAGCAAGAAGGTGCTTAATCATTTTCTAATTTTTCCATAAGTTGAGTAATCATTGTATAGTATAATTATTTTGCCGTGTTTCAAGTTGTCTGTATATTAAAGAAACAGGCTTTCCAAGTTAAAATATGCATTTATTCCATGCACCCCTCCATTAGAGCATGCCCTGCTTTGGAGCTACTCCCCCACCCCCCTTTGAATTCTTTTCAGTGAAGCTCTAGCCCCTGTACTAGTGTGTGTGTGTGTGTGTGTGTGTGTGTGTGTGTGCGTGCGCGCGCGTGTGTGCATGAGCGTGTTTGTTTCAGCCTTGAGCAGTAAATGAAATGAGAATACAGAAACAAATACTCTTTGTGATATAGGTATGTGCAGGAGTGTTAAAGTAGCTCCAAGGGACTATGTGAATTCTTTTGGGGTTGCTCATTATCTTACCCTCATGATATGTTTTATTCTTGGGGTAGTATTTTTAATAATCCACCTAAATGTCGGTTAATTTTCTTTGAGCATTTTAAAGTAAAGGTAGGGACTTCTTGGTGGTCCAGTGGTTAAGACTCTGTGCTCCCAATTCAGGGCGCCCGGGTTCGATCCCTGGTCAGGGAACTAGATCTAGATCCTACATGCCGCAGCTAAGACCCGGAACAGTCAAATAAATAAATAAATAAATATTAAAATATCTTACCTTAAAAAAAAATAAAATAAAGGTAGGTGATGACATTTGGCATTAGATTTTTCAGAGTCTTAGTTTTTTCATTTAGATATTTTGATGTTTAAAGCTGCAATAGAATTTGTCTTAGTAGCCTGCTCTTGGGATTCCATCCATGTTCAGGAATGAGAGGAGCAGCAGTATTATTCATTAATACCTGTGAATTCCATGTCTATGAGACTTGCTCCTGCCAATTTGTTAACTCTGCCTCAGTCCTAACTGATCTGCTCTGGTTGATTTGCTCTTTTAAACTTCATTTCATTGAATGTGACCAGACTATGAATAGTTGGTAAATTTTGCCTTCAAAGTTTTGTTGATAGTTGTACTGACTATACTAAACAGGTCTTTGCTTTAATAATGTAGAACTAAAAGAGAGGTGGTGTTTTAAAGGTTTTATTATTCTCTTCCTGTACGGAAGTATGAATTGGCAACTGTTGCAGATCCTGTAACAGTGATTTGCTTACATCTCTGTGATTGATGTGGTCTCTCAGGGTAGAGATCAGAAAATTATGAATTCATGAGGAGCATGGTCATTATTGATGATACTCGGGAGCAACACTACTCGTGGTAGAGCCGCAGGGCTTGCCTAACCTATGGCTAAACTGATAGGTTGGAGGCTTTTTTAAATGTAATTTTTTGTTTTTAATAAACTATACCATTTGGGGAAAAAGAGGGAACATTTTAAGCAGAGTATTGGTGCAGAGGATTGAAGTTGGATTTGTGCTGTCTCTAGAATGTTAAGTAGAAAAAGTCCTAATTTCTAAACCTGGCTTTTTGTAAAAATGGTTATGACCATGGAAAAAAGTTTGGTTTGGACTTGCTTGGTTTCTGGGTTGCAATGACAGCTTTTTGATATAAATCAGTGTCTTTACGGGCACAAACTAGAAACTTTGAAAATGCAACAATATTTGAATTCTGCCAACATAGTTACAGCTGTCAGTTAGATACTGTGATTGTTTTAGTTATTTTTAAGGTTATTAGGCGGTAGTCATAGCTCTAGGAAGTAAACTTGGGGTTGGGTCTCTTTACTGTCTTGACACTACTTGGCATTTTCATCAACGTGGAGACAGGGGCTGTTGGTCCTCAAATGGCTGCTGCTGTTGAAACAAATGGCTTTTAACATGGCCTCAGGAATGACCACAACATTTTGGGAATTGCTTTATTTTTGTAAGGATAACAGAAAGCCAATTTGTATGACTGTCCCTTGGTTGTGATCATTTTTCAGTTGTACATAGTCCAAAAGTTAAACTATACCAGTCCCTCCTAATTCGTTTCTTTGCACTGATTCTCCTTCCTGTTTTGTGCAAAGTGCTGGTTTGGTTTGTAATATTTTAGGAAAGGACAAGGGAGGTGAGGCTGTACAGTTAAACTTTGAACACTTGGCCTTCTTGCTGTCAACTGCCATGCAAATATACTACTAATAAATATGCCCTTCAAGTTTTTAAAAATACTTTTATTTTACATTTCAGTCTTTCCTTGGTGTATTAATTTTAAAATCTTCATAATAATTTTAATATCCTTTGAACAAAGGAATTAGACTAGGAAGGACTTGGGCCCATTAAGAGGGTTATTTTTACCCTTGGCTGCTAAACCAAATTGAAAACTGAATGAGAGAAGGCTTTACCATCATAAAAATAATCGTTAAAAAAGAAAAAGTATTTCTTAGAACAAAAGCCCTTTCTTGACTTTGGAGAGCCTGCTTAGATATTGTTTCCACAAAGTTAACACTTAAATTTCTGGGGGTTTTTTGGTGCCTGTGTGCCATCTTCAAGTTCAGCAGCCATTTTGGTGGTTGTCTAGGTGGGTTCTAACATCTGGTTGTGGTGGTCATGAATTGGCAATCCAAACCTTGAGGAAAATCTGCAGAATCTTTTGAAATGCTTTGTTTTTCCCCTTTTGTATAGATTAGCATCCTAAGTGAGTCTGTGTAGCTGTTTAGATGCAAACTGAGCTCTAAGTTTGCATTTATCTGTGTCCTTAAATGAGAAGGTTGAGAGAGCAGCAAGAATACAGCCTGGCTTAATTTTAATTCACTGAAGAGAATCCAGATGCTGCTCTGGTTTTGTGATAGAGTATTTACACATCCTTCTTGTGACGGTTGTGGAGCCTAGTGCTGTGTGCAGGACCAGCCACAGAATCTGTGGGGCCCAGTGCAGAATGAAAACACAGGTCGTCCCCTTATTTAAAAATTACTGAGAATTTCAAGACAGCAACAGAGCATTAAACCCAAGTGCATGGCCCTCAGTGCAAAGTCCCATGCGATTGGACAGGTTGCACACCCATGTAGCCGGCCATGCCGTGTGTGCGCCTTTGAGGATATATATTATACATATACGCATCTTTGTAGTTAGCATTTGAGCTCAGTTCAGTGGCATTGCAATTTGTGTGCTGTTCACCTTCTTGGAATATTAAGAGTGTATTTGTAAAATTGTTTTCCTCTTTCCCCAAAAAAGTGAATCACGCAGACTTCTTTCCTGTAGATTTGGATTGCCTCTAGTCATGAATGAGTATTTCAGACAGGGAAATTGATATGGAAATCTGTGGAAATAGCTTGTTTGAGGTGGGAGGAAAATCAAGGACATTGTTAACAAGTTTCACCTACTTTTACTGCACACCTGTAATGCCTAGTGTGGTGGTTTAGAGAATATGGAGTGTTTCTGGGCTTTCTTATAAGGCAGAGGCTCCATACAAGGTTGCTGATGATTGTTCTAAATTCCCATTGTTTTCTTGGCTTTTCTCCCTTGGTTTATGTGTCGTCTGGAAACTGATTTGTAGTTGGTGAGGTAACATACGTGGAGCTCTTAATGGACGCTGAAGGAAAGTCAAGGGTAAGTGTCTGAGAGAATTTCTTCTGTGGATTTACTACATGAAAAATGTAACTGTATGGTGGCGTGGAATCGAATGAAATCAGGAAGGCAGTGAGTGCTCATGTTATAGTAGCTATGTTTGATTTTGCCAAACATTCGAGTGGGGTGGGAGGGGATTTGCAAACGGGAGTCCCGCTTTTCCAAATGGCTGGGCAAAGAGCTTTTTGGTATTCTGTTTGGATGCCCAATTTGGATAACTGGGGACCAATAGCAGCATTGTCTCTTTGTTAACAGAGGAATTGGCTGTGTGTGAATTATGCATGGAATTTTAGCGGTGGTATATTAATGTAAAACGTGTGTTCTTGTCTAGAAAATGTTACTTTTGGTTGTTTGCTGTATTTGAAAGTTGTGTGAACCAAAGATTCTGAAAAGTTGCCTTTGTGCCAGTAAATTGTAAAACAAATACTAAAACTTGAACGTTTAAAATTGGCCTAGTTTAAAGAGAAAATTAACTATTTTCTGTCGTGCAATAGAATGGCTTAGAATAATCAAAAGGATGAGCTTAATTTATGGAAGGGATGGATTTAGGAGGAGTATGATAAGGAATTGATTGAGTACAGAGAGAAGCAGATCTAAAGTTTGTGTGATTTCTCGGAGAACCTGAATTTAGGTCTGCTCATCATAACTTCAGCAGCTATAGTGCAATGGAAATGTGAAGGAAGAGGAGATACCAAGGAGCTGAGCTCTTAATAAGGAAGGCTAGGCAAGACACTTCTGTCAGCTTCCCCTTAGAAGGGTTAATTTAAAAACTGTTACATAAATCATATTTTAAATTTATAACTGTCATTGAAATTTACTATTTTTTTTTCTTTTCTTTTTTTTCCCTTTGCTCTTCTGACTGTCTGTGGCTTCTTCCAAAGGGATGTGCGTAAGTATTGTCTAGTTACTTATTGGCACTTGAGCCTTCTAAGTTGTAGGACTGGTTTCACTTATTTCCTTTTGACTCTTCATAGCGTTGTTGAATTCAAGATGGAAGAGAGCATGAAAAAAGCTGCTGAAGTTCTAAACAAGCATAGTCTGAGTGGAAGACCACTGAAAGTCAAAGAAGTAAGCTCATGAAACACCGTGGATACCATTTGTAGTTGTCGAGTGTCCCTGTTTCGAGTTAGGAAAAGACAGAATAGTCCTTGATGACATTTTACGGAGCAGAACAACCTGTTGTCGTTAACGAGGAGGGTCAGTCACAGGCTTCAGCAGTCATTCCTGTAAGCACTTTGGGATAGTGGCTGAGCACATCTTGAGCCACTGCTGACTGCCTTCCTAACATCTCTGATTTGTATTAGGCCAGCCTGCCTTGGTTTTCTCAGGGGCAGTCAAACTGAGTCCATGGTTTTTTTTTTTACTGTGTGTGTGTTTGTTTTTTTGTTTGTTTGTTTTAAGGTATTCTACATCTACAGTTTTACTCAGTCTGAACCCTGTTCTTGGCCCATCTTTTTTCTTTTTTAAAATGAGTTTAAATCCTTTTTCATAGCTAATCCAAATCAGGTATCTTCTCTCCCTGGAGGGAAGTGGGAGACTTTCTGTTAATTCAATCCTTCCTTGACTTATTTTTACCTCTTATTCTTGGAGGAAGATCAGTATATGCGAGCTCAGAGAGGAAAGCATGGTAGCGCTTAAGTTCTCTTGTGTCAAGGTAGCACGCAGAAGGGCAAAGAGTTTAAGAATATTGTCAACACCAGAGATGCAGAAACCTTTCCAGACTTTACACATGAGTCAAATGCCTGAATACTTGAAGGATGGAGTACCTTGGTGGTCTAGAGCTGTGTTTTCAAACTTTTGGGAAAATCACCAGTTGGGTTTGCAGAAATTATAAAACCCTCTTGAGTTAGTGAGATTCAACTGTACCAAGCCCTTGAAGATCTTATTTCAACCTGGAAGTTTTAATCATGTCATCCCCCTGCCCTCCCTTTTTTTGTTTTTTTACTTAGTTAATTGAGAGCTAAATTCTACACCCTTCCTTTCTTCCTCATTCTTTTGGCTAGAATTGTTTGTGGCCTGGTGGTTTAGTTTTACTTCATTTGAATTTTTTGTTACAGATTTTGAGAAATGGTTTCCAAACAGCCTCTCAATCTCTGAAGTTTTGGGGGTATCACTTACTGTGGGAGCATGGTTTTAATTGTCACTGGGTCAGTTAAATGTAACCCTTTTGTGCTTGTTTTAGGATCCTGATGGTGAACATGCCAGGAGAGCAATGCAAAAGGTGATGGCTACGACTGGTGGGATGGGTATGGGACCAGGTGGCCCAGGAATGATTAATATCCCACCCAGTATCCTAAATAATCCTAACATCCCAAATGAGATTATCCATGCATTACAGGCTGGAAGACTTGGAAGCACAGTATTTGTAGCAAATGTAAGTAAATGGAAACATTGTTTCATAAAGTTTGATTTTCTACTTTAGACAATCTTGTCAATGTGTTATAAAAGTAGTTCTGACATTTGAGAAGAAAAACTTAAAAAGAGGGTTATGTTATCTTCTTGATTTATTTAAAAAATCATCCTTGGGCTTGGCTTTGTCCCCTAATGACCACTGCAGTCATAAGTCACACAGGCTTGACCATGGTCCTCTTGGGGCCATGTTTATGGAGTTTTGCTGGTGTGTATAAAAGTAGGTGCAGGGTAAAGTTCATGAGCAGAGATTGTGTATTGACATTTCCCTCTTCCTGTTAATGTCTGGGTGAATGGTAATACTTTGCCATTTGCACAAGGAAGTATTTTTAAAAGAAGTGGATTGGGGAGGATGATGGTAAACCTTATCTGGGGAACAGCATTTTTTAGTATTCACAAAATAAGCATTAACTTGAAAGGTATGAGGTGACTTAAATTGTTATTTCAGAGAAAAGAGACAGTAAGTAGTAGAAGGCAAACCTTCGTAATCCTATTTGAAAACTTATACTGACATATTTTTGTGACATTATTTTTGTGACATTTTCTAATGCTTGTTTTCCAACCAGAGCATGTCACATTCATGTAGTAAAAATGTTTACAATGAGATTTTCCTCTCCTTTCTCTTGATTAGCTGGATTATAAAGTTGGCTGGAAGAAACTGAAGGAAGTTTTTAGTATGGCTGGTGTGGTGGTCCGAGCAGACATTCTTGAGGATAAAGATGGAAAAAGTCGTGGAATAGGCACTGTTACTTTTGAACAGTCCATTGAAGCTGTGCAAGCTATATGTATCCTTTGATCGGAATTCAACTCCTGGTGAATTTAGTTTAGCCTAAATGTTGTATTAGTAAGACAGGTTTGTGTGGGGAAGTGGTAATTTTGTGTATTAGTATTTCCTATGTGACTAGAGAGAATACATTACTATGGATATTACTAAGGGAATACAAAGTATCTACATAGTATTGTACTTATGTAGATAGAAGAGATGGTTAGAAAACAGGCACATATCCATGAGTGGTCTTTTCCATTGTCTCTTTTTAGAGGAGACTGGTTTGAAGGGAGAAGTCCAAAGAATGTGCCACTGGAGAGAAATTCAGTGTTATTTCATATGTAAGCCCTTATTGGGCCCTATCTCTTCAGTGGATTGACATTCTGGAAGAAGCACTTCTCTCTGACCCTAGGCTGCTCACCCTACTCACCCCAGAGTTACATCTTTGTAGTCACAGGGAGAATACCACACATGAACACTGTCACTAAACTCAGGCAAGATTGTCACTGAGTGTATTACCCGGAAAACATGGTACTCCAAAAAATGGTAGAACACCTGGCTTATTGGACACATACAGAAAACTGATGTCAGTGCTTAATTTAAGAGGCGGATGGTTTGGTGAGAAGTGTAAGGTTTTATGAATGGCGCGCCACACCTAAGGAGTAAGCTGAGGTTTCCTTTTTTTCCCCTTGAGTGTTATTTATTGTCCCTTTAATGCTTACTGTAGGAATAAATACTTGAAAGTATAAACAGGAATCAAAATTGCTCATAAATTCACCACTTAGAGGGACTGGTAGCAGCAGTTGGAGTATTTTTCTCTTAGGTATTTCTGTTCTGCTGTGCATGTTTCTAGAATTGCAGGAAATAGCCTTAATTGTAATATCAGCTATGTTTAATGGCCAACTGCTATTTGACAGACCAATGCACGTGAAAATGGTAAGTTAATAGGATCTTTCCTTTAATATACTCAGATAAGTTTAGCAAAAACATGGGTTTATTAAGAGTATACATACACATAGCCACTGTACTTTCTTTATGGATCAGTCCAAGTTAAAGGGTACAGCACATTGAGCAAATTTATGACAGAAATAACTTTTTGCTCATGCACCTCTTCAGATAGTTTTTCCTTTGCACAGTTACTGGCATGGTCAGGAGGTCACTTGCATATCCTGCTTGAGCAAGTGATCAGTTTCACAGAATGGTTTTATATATATAGGTTGCCAGTTTTCAGAGTATTGCAGTACGTTTAATTAGCATCATATCTATTGTGAACATAATTAAGTCTGATTCAGAAAGCCTTTAAAGTTCTGTTGAAGCGTTTCAGTATAAACATTAGCCCAGCTGTGGCTGTGCCCAAGATGCCAAAGATAACAGTATTAATACAAGCATGACCGGAACGTGCTGAGGGCAGTCTAGTTAGTTAGGGTTCCAAATCAGGAAGGACATAAAAGGAGCTCTAAAGGAATTTTTTAGTTCCTTTAAACTTTCAGTTTAGTTTTTTGAATAGATAATTGCTTCACATGATTCAAAAGTCAAAAAGCATGAAAAATTCAGTGTGGGAGTCTTGCTCTTACTTTATGCCCAGGTTCCATCCATCCCCCACAGTGATATGAATGTATATCTTTTAAATCTTTCCCCCTGTACATAAAAGGTAGCAACTAACTCTCACATATTCTTTTTATACTTGCATGTTATTCTATGGCATGGGTGTATCGTAATGCATCTAACCCGTCCTCTGTTGATAGAAATGGTTTCCATCTTTTGCTCTTGCTAACAGTACTGCAGGGAATACTGAGATTTATTCATTTTCTCTTTCAGGATGAGAGGGCCTTACCAAAGGGAGATTTTTTCCCTCCTGAGCGTCCACAACAACTTCCCCGTAAGTGTCTCAATTATCATGGCTAAAATTTTGAATTTGATTTATTCTAACCAGAAAACTGCAATTACCTTTGAACTTGTGCCATGTCATTCTTGTGCAGTGTCAGTTACCTTGACCATTCTTGAGTAAAACATTCAAAAAGGTTGTTTGTTTGTTTGCCCTGTAGATTTTTCTGGGTGAAAAAATGAGTAGAGAGATTCACAATTTAGGAAGGATTGTTAGGATTACACTGTGGTGTGAGGCAGGCTACTCAGGATGTAGAGGCTGTAGTTGGGAAGAAACAAACTGCAAAGGGAATTAAAGCCAGGTTGCACTTTGGTTCAAAAGAGATTGGTTATTACCATGTGGCCTAGCAATTCCACTCCTAGGTATACTACAAGAGAGCTAAAAACTTAACATCCACACAGGAATTTGTGCACAGATGTTCATGGCAGCATGATTCCAGCTGATGAATGGGTAAATAAAATGTGATAAATCCACACAGTGGAATAGTACTCAGCCGTAAAAAGGAGTGAAGTACTGATACATGCTACAGAATGGATGAACCTTGATTCCATCTCTGAGAAATGTCTAGAATAGGCGAGTCCACAACAGGTGGATTGTGGTTGCCAGGGGCTGGGGAAAGGGGTGAGTGGAGAGTGACTGCTTATGGGGATGGGATTTCTTTTGGGGGTGATGAAAATGTTCTGGAATTGGATAGTGGTAATGGTTGTATAACTCTGAATATACTAAAAATCACTGAACTGCACACTTTAAATGGGCGAATTTTATGGTGTGTGAAGTACAGCAATCAGAAGTTTCACATAGTGTTATTTGCAACATGCAGGTGAAAATCTATCCTGGGACAGGGAAGGCTTGTTGGTTGGTTGGTCACCGCGTGGGTGGAAACAGCGCACAGTAGTGAAGTCCTAGGCACTCCCTCTGGCAGGCCCACAGAGAGGAGCAGAGCCTGAGCACAGACGGCCCAGGGAGTGGGGGTGAGGGCCTGCTGTAGCATGAGGGTTGGGGAATCTGCAGTGCGGGCAGGGCTAATCTGTAGAAGGAAGACTGGGTGGTGGGTAAGGGCAAGATCTGCTTGTGCTGTGCTAGGGAGGACTTCCCCCACTGAGGCTGCTGGGGTGGAGCTGTTTGGAGGGCTGGCCAGTCCCTCCTGTCTGGAGCCGTGGCTCAGCTGTGGGAGATTGAACTGAACGGGAGCCTAGACTAGAACACTAACTCTTCTTCACACTTTAGGATTGTAGAAGCATCATAGAGGCAGATTTTGAGCGGAGGTCTGTGGTTTCAAGAATAGGAGATGGCTTATCTGTTGAAAGTTAAGGACCCCATTTCCTTGTCATAGTCAGTGTGATCACTTGCAGTAATTACCCAGGAACAGGGCGATGGCTCTTGTTGACTTTGGGCCTGGAGGAGGGGGGTGAGGGCTGCTTGGCAGCCTCGGCTGGCACACTGGGCTCCAGGGAGCCCATTATCTGTGGCTTTTGGTCTCCCCAGCACATTTCAGAGGGTTGACTTCAAAGTCTTCAGTGCTTTGGGGGGGAGTAAGTAACCTTGGTGAGCTCTTGCTGCTGTTTCTATGCAATTTAAGAACAGGGATTTTAATCAGATTAAATATTTGGGAACCGGTGTCAGGTTGTTTTAGTGAACTTTGTTCCCGTTTCAAAAATCTCACCTGGTCTTGGTTTAAGCCTCCGACCCATGGTGACCCAGAGCACTGTAAGTGTCTTAGGCTGTCAGGCCTTGTTGGCTGCTCCCTGTTTGTGGAACAGGGAGTTGAAGGTGGCTTGGGTACAATGCATGCCTTAGGAAGCTTTCTGGGTAGAAGATATGTTCTTTGAATACACTAGCTTCATTGTTGTTAAAACCGCCTGCAGCGGAGTCAGAATAGTGTAAGCCCAGTGTGTTAATTGGCTGGTTTATGACATTGTTTATCGTGAGAAAAGTCCTTTGGGTCTGCAGGTTGAGAGGTGTGGGTTGGGCATATGTGTACCGCTTGCCACCTGATGTCTCCAGTTGCCTGTTTTGATTTTAAACATTTCTCAGTTCACGATTTAGGGAAACAAATCGGTGCTCACAATTCTCGTTGAGTGGGCTGTTCATGGTTCTTCTCTGTAGTTTTCACGTGAACTGATTTTTAGTTGCCCTTGTTTTATTTTTTAAATTTAATTTAATTTTTTAAAATTTATTTTTCCTTTATTTTTGGCTACGTTGGGTCATTGTTGCTGTGCATGGGCTTTCTCTAGTTGCGGTGAGTGGGTTTCTCATGCGGTGGCTTCTCGTTGCAGAGCACAGGCTTTCGGCGCATGGGTTTCAGTAGTTGTGGCACGTGGTGCCCTTGTTTTATACATACCTCACACTCTAATCCGTAAAGTTGTATAAGAGCTTATGCCTTAAAAGGGAGAGCTCCTAAATGTGCCCTTTTTGACTCATGGATTAGACCCTGGATTTGCTGGTGGAGGTGGGCGGTGGGATAAGCGTGACAGCTACACAGTAAACCAAGGCTCTTTTTGGCTTTGAGAGTCATGGTTTCCTGAGTAAGTGGAATCAATACTCTGACTTTCTCTTCTCCTTTCAGATGGACTTGGTGGTATTGGCATGGGGTTAGGACCAGGAGGGCAGCCTATTGACGCCAATCATTTGAATAAAGGCATTGGAATGGGCAACATAGGACCCGCAGGTGAGAAATACGGTGTACCTCGACTGGGGATTTCTGGGGAAGTTAAAGTTATTAAAGTTAACTATTGGGATAATTGCACATTGAGTAGTTCAAATGGAATGAGGCTTTAATTGGGACAGAATTAATTCCCTCCTTATTTATCTTCGATGCATTTTGATAAAAACAGTATTTTGTATTTTTACCAAGTTGAGTGTTCTTTTCTAAAGCTATTATGCTTTGCATTTTATCCTCACGAGACCTTCTGAGCTGAGGTACTCAGTTAAGCATTTTGGTAAAAGGAGGCAAGCCAGAGGGTTGGTCTTGCTCAAGGTCACACTATCAGTTAGTGACAGAAACTGTAGGTCTCCTGATCCTGGGACCACAGCACTGCCACAGTCTATTACCCAGACCCCCTTGGGTTCTCACATGGTGTTGACATGGCTTCTAGAGGTAGGGGCGTTGGTGAATGCAGAAAGGTATGGAGGGCCTCGTTGCATGACCGCGTAGCTGTCATAGGCCACAAGGACGAATGATGCACAGTGTTGTCTTTGTTTAAGAAGAAAAGAAATAGCTAATGAATAAAAGCTTTGGCGTGTAGAATAAACTTTGAACTTCACTTTTTAGCATTTTCGTTTTCATGCAACGAAGCATTCGTATATCATTTTAAAATATTTCATTTTTATAACCTCAGGCCTATGTCTTTCTTGAAATTCTTTGAATTGCAAGATGGATGCCCTGTACCGTACTACTGTCAGTTCTGCATATCCTTTGACTCCCTCCCAGATTAAACTCTGGGGCTGACCAAAACGTCTTGGCCCATCACCTTGGGTGGCTATACCAGTCTGAACACCACATCCCCTGACTGATACCTCAGAGGAAAGGCTGCGGGTGGCGGGGAGGGAAGCCTCAGCGTTTTGAGGAACTGCTTTTTATTTAGAGCGTTTTACCTTTAAAAGGGAGTTTTAAATCTACTTCTGTTCCCTAGTCTGTACCTGGTATTTATATTTCATGTTTAAAACTGTCTACCTTGGGCATTTAATGAAACTATGTGGACACTATAAAATTTTGAGTCACATGGTGATTATTTTGTTAAAGGCTTAAATAGTTTTCCTGGAATGTACTAGTTTGACAGTTGAAATGAAAGAGCCCCCACCCCATTTTTTGCACTTGACAATTAAAATATATTTGTAGTCAGGGATATTTTTGCTCATTTGCTGGTGTGGAATTTCTTGTGCTTTTTAAGTTCAAACTTTACTGCTTTGACATAATTTTAGTTTGCATTGACTTTTTCTTTTTAAGGAATGGGAATGGAAGGCATAGGATTTGGAATAAATAAAATGGGAGGTAAGAAATTTAAAATGAAGTACAAATGTAATTACTTTTAGGTATGGTTTTCCCTCTTTTTTTCCCCCCCTTCCTTTTCTCTTAAGCCCTGCATGAAATTCTCACTTAGGTTTCCAAAAAGTTTGAGTCTAGAAATAACTTTTACCTGTTGATCCTTCTAGTGGGTGTCTTGGCCTTTGGTTCTGGCTTTCTCACTAACTAGCTCTGTGACCTTGGGCAAATCACTCCATCTCTCTGGGCCTTCTTTGCTTGTCTCTTCATTGAGGGGGTTGGATCAGATCAGCCTTTTGAAGATAGTGATTTTTAAGTAAAGGCACTAGCCTTTTTTCTCCCAAAGCCCTTAAACTTGGTGAGTTTCTGGCAGACAGTGCCGTAGGTGAAACTTGTAAAAACATTTTTCTTTGCTTGTTCAGTCTGAGTCTTGTTAGGCTGGTGCTAAAATGCGAATGTCTCTTTCAGGCATGGAGGGACCCTTTGGTGGTGGTATGGAAAACATGGGTCGATTTGGATCTGGGATGAACATGGGCAGAATAAACGGTAAGATTTGTGTTTCCTTCCTGCTTATACCTACCTTTGTTGGCTGTTGGCTCTCAGGTGACCTTTAGGCAGCAGACCCATTTTTAATAAGTGATTTCTCGCTTCCACTTCTGTACTGAATCTGATATCTTTGAATTGCCTTAAATAGTTTGTATTCCAGAAGCTAGACTTAGTGGCAGGGAAGTGTTAATTCTCTTAGTTACTTAATTCTTGAGGTTTTCTGTGTTTCAGATCTTCCCAATAATTGTCCAATAAAACTTTAAAGCTTTCCTGTTGCCTCCAGCACTTGTCTCCCCTGGAGTGCTGGACTGGGTGAGTTCTTGACCATCTGCTCTGATGTCTCCAAATTGTGAGCAGGGGCATTTGTTTAATTTAGCATTTATATAATGCAAAATTTGGCATACTATTATTTAAATCTTCCAGCCCTCCCAACTTAATAACCGAAATATAATTATATCACTTGTAGTAGTAACACTGTGTTATTTCATTTAGTCCTCGCAAGAACCGCATGACGTGTAGGTACTGTTATCCCCATTTCATTGGAAACTGAGGCCCACAGTGACTTGCCTAAGGTCCGATGGCTAGTAATGGTGGGATATGGACCCCGGCTGTCTGGCTCCAGAGCTTGGCTCTTAATCACACTGAGATCCTGCCTTTTAGAATTGCCTTCAGGCGTCACCCCCCGCCCCCGCCCACCAGCAGGGCTGTAAAATGCCAGGAGAAACTTGCTGTTATGAAAGCCTGTCTTTCTAAATCCTCTGGGTGTGGGTGGACTCTGACCCACACCTGTGGGAATGCTGCTGCTTTTATACACAGACTTTTCTGGAATGGGAAGTTACTAAGGACTTGGGGTTTCTTTTGTTTTTTGTTTCTACCTTTTTAAATTGAAGTATAGTTGATTTACAATGCTGCATTAATTTCTCCTGTACAGCAAAGTGACTCAGTTATACACATAAGGACTTGGGTTTAAATGTTTCTTTGCTGGTCTGTAGTAACATATCATGTGAAGATGGTACAGAGCAAGCAAGAACCTTACTAGGATAGATATTAACTGCCAAACTGCAAAGAGTGACATTCCTGATGAATAAGCTGCCCTTCTTCATGGAGTGCCTTGTTCTAGATGATGATGAAAAGATTCAGGAAGGTTCTTACCATTAATGAGGAATGAAGGGACAAAGGTCTGTGTTTCCAGTGTGCTTTCAGGCTTGCCTTTAGCTCATGTGTGCATGGAGTTTTTAATAAAAAGTGAGAGTTGGAGAGGTCTGGCTTAATAAAGTGTTTGCTCAGAACAGATGAGCCATTAGAAAGGAGATTTGGGTTGCTGCTCTGAGGAATTTAGTGATGCGACTTAGAAGTAGATGGAAACGAGGGTGGGAGCTGTGCTGAGCCACGGGGACAAAGTCTTTGGTAATCTGGCAGATGGAATGCAGCAGTCACGCTTCTGAGCCTGGTGATTCAAGGTTCAGAGTGCTGATTGTCCTGAAGAGCCACAGTGGAAGATGTGTTCTTACGCTGTGTGCTTATTAGTTGCTCTCTGATACAGATAGATACTCAGAGTCCTCCTTCTCCATCCTCTACAGCAGAGAACAGGGCCTTCCTTGCCCTGGAGCTGTTTTGAGATTTGGGTGGAATTGGCTCTAGAGCCCTTGGGTGCTGCGTCCAAGGAAGGTTTTGATCACTGGGAAAAAGTTGATAGGGATGTTTCAGATTTAACTTAATGTTTAGTTGATTATCATGATGCATCGCATTATAGTCACAGGTGCTGACAACATTAGACTGATTAGAAATCAGATTCTCAGGGCTAGTCACCCAACCAGTAGAGGTCAAATCTTTATAGAACGGGTACAAAAATTTTAAATTGAAAGATCATCAAATATTAAATGATGACTGGTTTGATGCAATATTTGACAATGAAAATTCTTTCTCTGTCTCTCTTGCTTTCTTTTTTTGTGTCGGTGGGGAGTACATTGGAGTTCGTACAGGGTTGGTTCCCTGTACTCTACACTCTGTTGACAGTTGGGAAGATAAATTCTGAGGCCTTTGCCAACACATTACTGCCTGCATGTGACTTCCTAATGTGTGGGGGGGGTGTCTTCTTCACGGGCTTACGGTAAGGATTAAAGGAGTGCAGCAGAGCCCCCATCCATTATGGTGCCACAATGGGATTTCTGTTCTGCATATACAGGCTCGCACAAGTTAGATATATTTCCAGCAGATAGCATGCCACCAACCTATGGGATTCAGTTGGGTGGATTCAAGCTATGAATGTAAAGTCCACCATTGTCATCTGCTGCATCTTCTTATTAATTCATAATGCTAGTCCGCTTCCACGTTTGTAATAGACTCATTTACTTCTTTCGAAGTATAGGGGCTCCAGCTGCATATTTTGTAGTTGTGCAGTAAAAGATGTCCATTATGTAGCACATGTATACCTGGTATTTCTAAGGAGCAAGATTAATTAACTGGGTTTTCCAGGGACCTCTCGGTATGGAAAGGAGACAAAGTGTGATGCACATTTTAAGTCTTGCTTTAGATGAATATACAAGGAAAGAAGTAGCCAGTGACAGGAGTCATGAAAGGGTTTCTCAAACAGGTGACAGCTGTGGCGGGGCTTTTCCCTCACAGAAGCTAAGACCTTGTTGTTGTTGTTTTTAAATAAATTTATTTATTTAATTTTGGCTGTGTTGGATCTTCGTTGCTGCGCACGGGCTTTCTCTAGTTGCGGCGGGCGGGGGCTGCTCTTCGTTGCGGTGTGCAGGCTTCTCATTGCAGAGCATGGGCTCTAGGTGCGCAGGCTTCAGTAGTTGTGGCTCGCGGGCTCAGTAGTGGTGGTTTGCGGGCTCTAGAGCGCAGGCTCAGTAGTTGTGGCGCACGGGCTTAGTTGCTCCGCGGCATGTGAGATCTTCCCGGACCAGGGCTCGAACCCGTGTCCCCTGCACTGGCAGGCGGATTCTTAACTGCTGCGCCACCAGGGAAGTCCAAAGACCTTTGTTTTTAAAAGACATTGTGGGACTTCCCTGGTGGCGCAGCAGTTAAGAATCCGCCTGCCAGTGCAGGGGACACGGGTTCGAGCCCTGGTCCGGGAAGATCTCACATGCCGCGGAGCAACTAAGCCCGTGCGCCACAACTACTGAGCCCGCGCACCGCAACAGAGTAGCCCCCGCTCGCCGCAACTAGAGAAAGCCCATGCGCAGCAACGAAGACCCAACACAGCCAAAAATAAATAAGTAAATTAATAAATTTGTTTTAAAAAAAGACACTGAAAAACAACAAATACTGCTGCAATCAGCATAGAAAAAAATAATGAAGTTACCAAACCCCATTATGTAGATGAAACCACTCCAGTTGTCAGTAGAGAAGTCATGTTGTTTGCACACAGGTGTCTTTCTCTGTTCTCATGGTTGTGCTTGTGATTGGAACATGGGTTTTTGCATTGGAGTTAGGTTCCAGCCTTTGCCTCACTCCTTACCAGGCATGTGACCTTGGTCAAGATGCTGTCATTTGAGCCTCAGTTTCTTTGTAAAGGGGCAGTGGTGATGGAGGGTAATGTAGGTGTGCAGTCTGGTTGTGAGGATTCCATGAAATAATAGCACATATAAAGCCCTGGGCAGGGCAGGGCATGTGGGAAGTGCCCCAGAGGTGGTACCTGCTGCTGCTGTAACATAGGCAGGCTCTCCTGCAGCCTACCTTTGACGCCTCATGCACTGCAGCCTCCCCACACCAGTTACTGCAGTACTGGGTGCTTGGTGTATCCATTGTGTGACTGTGTGTAAGCTGGAAATTAGTCCTAATGGACTAAAGGTGGGTTGTTTTCAGGGATTCATTTGAGGTGACTTCCTTTTTTAAGGAATAAAGGATGAACGATGGTTTCCTATAGAAAAACTAAAACATGCTGACTTGCTGGTAGCTGTTGTGTGTTTATAGTTTTTTGTTTTTAATGTCTAAAACATAATGGTATTCTTGGAAAGGCCTAGGGTAATATTTTTTTCCACAGAGATGGAGCGTGGCATGGGTGGAGGATTTGAGAGAGACTTTGCCAGAAATGAAATGGGAATGTCTCGAAGCTTTGGAGAGCCCCTTGGCAGAGGAATGGGTAAGAAGGCCCCATGGGCCCCTATGTGGGCGGGGTCAACCCCCCGGGGGTGCAGGCTCACCCTGATGTCGGGAGGTTCTTAGGCAAAGTCAGCTATTTTTCCTTAGGCTTTAAAAAAAATTGTATGTTTTCTAGGTCTAGATACGAACTTTTGGTCCTTGAATTTTTTTATTGGTATCAACAGCACCATTTTTCTTTAGTCTTTTCAGATGGCTTCTTTTTTCACACTGGTATAAGGTGTTTTCTTGCTGTGGAGTTAAAAACTGCTGTGTTTACATGACGTTGTGGCTCTGTAGTCACCGTAGAGATCTTCAAGGCCCTGCTCAGTGGGGGTGTGAGTCTCCTTAGTCCAGGGGCCTCTGGTGTTCCAGTTAACAAAGGATGACGGTGTGCTTGCTGATGCAATTGAAAGAGATCTTGAAGTTTCCTAATGTTGGAAGGCCTGGAGTATTGGGTCTGTCTAAATGTAGTTTTGGTTAGTTTGCAAAGCAGTTTCTTCTTTACTTTTCCATGGATGTCTTCCCCTGTTTGGAGTTTAGACGTTTCTGAGAATCTGTCAGCCTGATTCTTAATTAGTTTGGAACAAGGAGATTGTCTATTCCTGGGCTCTGAAGTTTGTTTCTCTCAAAGGAGATTTAGAGCATGGATAACTCTCTCCCCAGCACCCCCTCCCCCGTCTTCATCAGCTTCTCACCCTGTGCAGATAGGCGGCTACTAGGTGATAACCTCAAAGAGTGTTCAGCCTGTCTTTATGGGACACCTTGGGCTAGCTGTGAGGATTTTAAGCTTTTTTACGTCTAGTTTGTATGAGCTGAGCTGTATTTATCTCCAGGAATCCTATCTTCTTTGTTTCCTTCATGGAAACCAGGAATTATTAGGAACTGTTTCTCTCAGAGTAGACTTGGCTTTTGTGTCATTTGTCCCCCTGACCATGGTTAGGATAATTAAGTGATTTTTGTTGCATCAAAACTAGCTTTGCTTTCTTCTTTAAAAAAAAAGGACAAAAAAAGAGGGAAAAAAAAAGTAGCTGGTACTGAAGATTTACTTTTTCTGTACTTACTTGATATGACTGTAGCTTTATTCTAGATTGTTCCAGAGCTTTAGAATTTGGGGGTGAGTTCATAATCTGTATGTGACTAGGTCAGTTAAAAGTTTCTTGTTGCCATGACTGGCTTTGTTTTTTGTGTCTTGAAATGGTAGGGTATTAAAAATTTATTGTCATTTGGCTGCAAATACTAATTTGTGGATGGGTACCTGTGGTGAGAAGAACAAAATGGCACGTGACTTTCCTCCCACAGGCACTTTGTGCTGCTCTTGAGCCTTCAGTCCTTTGCTGCTCTGGGTCCTCTCACCTCACCTCTGTGATGAGGCTTGTCAGCCTTGTCCCAGATCCTGTGGAGGCACAAGAGGTGGACTGGTGAGGTTATTTCATGTGGCAACAGGAAACACGTCCTGTCCTGACCTGAATATAGGAAGGTCATCTGCAGGCCTATCTCCTGCTACTTTGGCACCTTCTTTCTGATTGAGACCATGGTCTGTTTGTCCTGAGGCTTCCCAGAGTGACCATGGGCAAGAGCAAGGAGCTTTTGTTCTCCTGCTACTTATGATCAGACTCAAGTTAGTGAAATGGTCTTTGTACCAAGTAAAATCTTTAAGTCAGGTTTTCAGAGTAGTTGCCTGGATTGTTTTTTTTTCAGATTCAGTTCTTGATCTTTTTTTTCTGTATTATTTACTTGACAGTTGGATCATTTTGGTGTGCTACTTTTGTAGTGCTCTCCCTATTCAGTATCCCTTCTTTCCTATCAAGGCAATAGTTCTTTGTGCAAACAACTGTACTTGGTGCTCCAGGGCTATAGATAGATATGTGATCCTTAACTTTGAAGGATGTGGTGTAGCTGAGGAGATGGTGCTCAGAGTGGCTTGGGGCAGCACCAGAGATCAGCACGTAGAAGTGGCCTAGTTGAGGGAGCCAGTGGAGATGTTGATTCCCGGGCTCTCGGCAGCTATGTGAGCACCACACAAAGGCGATCATTTTCTGTGTTAAGATTTGAAAAAGCACTGCTCTAGATGCTTGATAGAAGTGTTTTGCTCAGAGAACACAGGATCCAGGCAGGGGTGTAAGAAGACCATGCAGGAGATGCAGTTCACGCTGGAGGGGCTGGACTTCAGCATAGGTAGAAGTGGGGTACTGGCCCACAGAGAGGGCGGACAGCATCAGGTGCAGAGGCTTGGAGATGTCAGTCTATTTGGGGTGGGAAGAACAGAACAGATTATAAAGTTTTAAGTCAGAGCAGGGGGCCCTGTGAACACCCATGAAAATAATTTGGCCTTTCTCTTCAAATCGGTGGTTGGCTGATTGTGAAGTCTTTTGCCAGGGAATGGTTTGATCCAAGTGCTGTTTTAGGAACTAGAACCTAGGCCTGGGCATGCTGAGTGGGCTCCCAGGCATCATGGAAGAATAAGCCCCGGTCTTGCTTCCTGGCTGGAGGTCTGTTTTCTTGGTGTACTTTCCCACCCCCTTCCTTTAGCGGGTAGTTGTAATACTTGAAACAGCTGCAGGGCTAGGGTTTAATCTCTCACGGTCATGGTCAAAATATGATATGTGCTCTGTGGCTGTTGTCCATGTTGCTCAGCACACTTCAGGACCAGAGAGGGGGTGGGTACAAGTTTTATATAATGAAAGACCCAGAAGAAACTTAAAAGCTAACACTAATGATAGCATTAGACAAACTTAATAGAGGTTTGAATGAACGGCCAGCAAGCAAGCAGCAGTATTGCTGTTTTGGAAAGCTGAGTGTGTTGGGGTTTTGTTTACCTGAGGCTTTGTCTGTCACTTGGTTACCATCACATTTAGCTCCTTCCAGGCAGGGCTTGTAGGCTCAGTTTGCTGCAGTCTTCCCTTGCCTGGCTCGTTGATTAGGTCATATTTCCAGCACTGCATGCGGTTGCTGCTGGTTTTCTGGGGTTGGGCTCTAAGTGTAGCTACAGCGGTAGTTTGTTGAAGGGTAACTGTGAGGTGCTGATTGGATCTGGGTGGGTGAGTGCACGCTTCAGTCTGTGAGTACTGAGTGTCTGGACCAGCTTTAGAAAACTGTGCTACTGGCCCCATTCTTGCTCTAACCTTCCAAGTTCAGCTCGTGGGTGCAGTACCAGAGGCCCTGCCAACTGGGCCTCAGACTCTGGAGCTACATGGGACTCTAGCATCATGACCCATCATCAAGGACCCTTACAGTTTTCCAGTAAAATGACCTTGTCTGTGTGTATATTTCTCAACCCCTTCCTTCCCCTTTCCTTTTTTATTTTTTAATTAGTAGTAGTCCTGCTCTGGAATCTGTAATAAATTTCTATTACCATAGAGGAATTTGGCTAATTTTTTTTTCTTCCTGATTTCCTTAGAAATCCTAAGTAATGCACTGAAGAGAGGAGAGATCATTGCAAAGCAGGGAGGAGGTAGGAAACGCTTAGTTTTGATGTTTTGATTTTTAGAATAGGCCTGTGTTACCGGGGATAGTAGTGTAGTGGTGAAAGCATGGGCTCTAAAATAGACTGCCTGGGGTGGGGAACCAGCTCTGGCTCCTCCTAGCTGTGTGACATTTGGCAAGTTACTGAACTTCTCTGTTTTTCGTACTGTAAAATGGGGATATAATGGTACCTACCTCATAGGGTTGTTCTGTAGAGTAAATGAGTTAATGCATAAAAGAGGACCTGCGTATGTGCTACGTACACGTTAGCCATTGTCAAAATGTCCGTGTAATCTGGGGGCTTTCTTGTTTCTAGTACTGTAAAATTGTAAATTGCCAAAAGTAAATATTTCACCTGATTATAAAAGTGTACACCACCTAATCATAGCATATGTTTCCTATGTACACGTGTACTCACAAAAATTCAGAACATTATGAAGAAAGTAAATACCTGAAATCTCACTGCCCTGCGATGAATGCTGTAAATATTTTGGAATATATTCTCCCATTAATACACTTTTTTTTAAGGGGTACCTAAAACTAAATGTACTTTAATTCAGTCTGATTTTTTTTTTTTTTTTTTTTTTCTCATGGCTCTGAGCATCTTGGCATTTCCTTGGTAACTCCACTTGCTGGATTTATTTCTGTGGTGGGCTGATTCTAGAACTCCATGTGGGTACCGTTTCTTCCTAGTTCTCTGCTGCTATTGGCATCTGGAGTGTCACCCTCATTTTTGGTACTTTTGGGTATGCTACCCACCCTCTCTAGGTCTCTTAACATTTTTTATAGTTGCTGAGATATTTCTGCTGTGAAAGCTTAATATTCTTAAAATTGTGTTTATGTTTTGCCACTTGGTGCACTGTTATTCAGCCAAGGAAACAGTCACCGAGAAGTGGCATGACTCGTGCAAGGTCACAGCTTTGGTCAGTTAGAGAATCAAAGAAACGGCTGAATTTCCTCTTCTGGAATTTGCATCTTGGCCTGGGCTGCTTGATTCAGGAATGGGCTGGCTGAGGGCTCAGCTGCCCATTTTTCAGAGGCAGGTGGTGATGGTTGTGAAGCTTGAGTGAGGGGGACTCTCGGGCTCTGCTTGTGGAAAAACTTGGTGGCCAGTGGCCTTGGTGGTGGAGCCAGACCCTCCTTCTCCAGAATTGTAAGCATCACAGGGTCGGCTGTGCACTGCTGACCTGCCAGCATGTGTCCAGCTGAACCATGACAGTGAGGGACTGATCCCAGGCCTGTTACTAAATCTACTCTGCAGTGCCATCAGATTTTTTTCCTCCAAAGCTAGCAAAGTTATACACGGCAAAGTCGGTTGGCGGTTTCCGTGACAGAGTAAGGTTCCCTAGAAGTGGCTGGCTGTGTTCATTTGTACATGAGGATCTGTATTGGTGTTGGTGTTTGTTTTCTTTATCTCTGCCTGATTACATGGCTGTGTAATAACTTACTTATGCCGTGGAGGTGCTAAGGAAATGCAGCCAGACTGGTTACCAGCAGGGCATTGTAGAGGGACAAGTTGGGAGAGGATAGAGGTTGTGAGCAATTTTAATTGTCCCCATTATAATCCATGTAATCCATTATGTCGGGTGACCATCTGAGTGTGGGGTTTCTGTCCCTCCCGGCCCCCCGCCGCCCCCCAGAGCCTTTATCAATGTCTGGTGGTGGGGAAACTGCAGAGTTCTCAAGGAGTTGATGCCCGTTGCTCACAAAGCTTGTCACAAGTATTAGCACTTTCAAAGTAATGTGGAGAACATTGTTGATCAAAGTTCTCAGGGTGGGTTTTTTCCCTCTTTAAATTTTATTATGGAAATTAACTGTGGCACAGAAGTAGGAAGAATGATGTACTCACTACCCAGCTTTAACAGTTGTCAACATTTGCAGGATATCTAATGATAACTTATTGTGGGACTTAAAATTTCTGAACCGTGGTTGAGCTTGTGAAGTGCCCAGGCCTCTGCACCCAGGGAACCCTCCTGGCATGGTGTGCACACAGATCCTCAAGTACCTGACATATGCCTGACACATTTCATGTCTCTGTTTTAGGTGGAGGTGGAGGCAGTGTCCCTGGAATTGAGAGGATGGGCCCCGGCATTGACCGCATTGGGGGTGCCGGCATGGAGCGCATGGGTGCAGGCCTGGGCCACGGCATGGATCGTGTGGGCTCTGAGATTGAGCGCATGGGCCTGGTCATGGACCGCATGGGCTCAGTCGAGCGCATGGGCTCTGGCATCGAGCGCATGGGCCCACTGGGCCTCGACCACATGGCCTCCAGCATCGAGCGCATGGGCCAGACCATGGAGCGCATCGGCTCTGGTGTGGAGCGCATGGGTGCCGGCATGGGCTTTGGCCTGGAGCGTATGGCCGCACCCATTGACCGTGTGGGCCAGACCATCGAGCGCATGGGCTCTGGCGTGGAGCGAATGGGCCCTGCCATCGAGCGCATGGGCCTGAGCATGGAGCGCATGGTGCCCGCAGGCATGGGGGCAGGCCTGGAGCGCATGGGCCCTGTGATGGATCGCATGGCCACCGGCCTGGAGCGCATGGGCGCCAACAACCTGGAGCGCATGGGCCTGGAGCGTATGGGCGCCAACAGTCTCGAGCGCATGGGCCTGGAGCGCATGGGCGCCAACAGCCTGGAGCGCATGGGTCCCGCCATGGGCCCGGCCCTGGGCGCTGGCATTGAGCGCATGGGCCTGGCCATGGGTGGTGGTGGCGGTGCCAGCTTTGACCGTGCCATCGAGATGGAGCGTGGCAACTTTGGAGGAAGCTTCGCAGGTTCCTTTGGTGGAGCCGGAGGCCATGCTCCTGGGGTGGCCAGGAAGGCCTGCCAGATATTTGTGAGAAATGTAAGTGGCTCTTCAGGAACTTCTCAGGGGTTGTATGCACAAGGGAGGAGGGGGCAGGAAGCCAGCAGGACTGAGTGGTAACAGGTCGAAGTCAGAGGGAGAGCTGAGTAGCGTGCAAGGGCCCTTTGCCACTTTCCCCGAAGTTTGGTGTTGGGAGAATGAGGAGGGAATGTGAGAGCTCGTGAATACTCGTGCAGCAGAAATAGTGGGTTTTGTGAAATCCTAAGCTTCTCTACTGGATGGAAAAGCCAGTGATCTGAAGAACTTGAGTTTCTTGAACTCTCAGCTTGATGAGCTGCTAAATGACATGGCACGACAGTTCGGGGGTGGGGGGGAAAGGCTGTATCTGAATTATCTTTACCAGATTGACCACCTTTAGCTACTATTCAGTGGTTCTGTGGGCTGCTCACCACAGGCAGCTGTGTGTTCTGCTCTGTGCATGGTGCTCCCACAGACAGATGCAGACAGGAGGGAATGAACTTGCTGTGCTAGTTTAGAATCTCACGCAGACAGACTCTTTGTTCTCTGCTGATCATCTCAGTGTGAAGGTCAGCCAGTTTCTCTGTGTGATAAGTTTTAAAGGCACTCTGAGACAATTGATGTTTGTGCATTAGGATTTGGTTGAATCACTCACCAGTCTCCTTTTTCTCCCTCAGCTCCCATTTGATTTTACATGGAAGATGCTAAAAGACAAGTTCAACGAATGTGGTAAGTATTTGAGAGGCTTTCTAGGTGCTTCCTTGTGTTGTGGCTTGTTGGTGCTGCATTGGAGTCATGCAGCGAGGCTTCCATCCTCGTCTTCACAGACACCTTCCGTGACTCTGGAGGATGGATGGGACTTGCCATTTTTCTGCCTGTGCAAATATTCAAGCAGGTTGTTGAGTTTCCTTTTATGTGTCAGATACTTTTTCACCTGTGTTCTCATTTCATCTTTGTTTTTCTCTTTTTTTCCCCCTTCCGGTTTTTGAAAGGAGGTAGTGTTGACCCCATTTTACAGAGTCAGGCCAAATCATGTTCCCAAGGTCACATGGCTTCTAAGTGACAAAGCTAAATAAAATAAATACATCTGAGACAAGGTTGTTTTCCACAATAGCACTATTGGTTTGCGCCTCAGAGAGCACTCGCCCAGCAGGTCCCTTGGGTGAGGTTTCACAGGCTCTGGGCACACAGTAGCTTGTGTGCGATGAAGCTAAGGGTCTCTGATAGAGGTTTCCTGGCACACCAGGCAGCCATTCTGGAAGGGTCACTTTGTGGCCAAAAAGAAGTTGTCTCCGGTTGAGGCCCTGCCCCTCACGCCTACCACCTCTTTTCTTTTAACTATGTCAAGTTGGGAGCCCCAGCCCTAAGCCAGAGGTCTGGGTAGCTCCCTGGATCAAGGCTTCCTCAGTGTTTTCTCATTTCCTTTTGCTGCAGTGATTCAGATTTCACCACTATTGCTGCTTCTCCTGGTTCTTCTCTCGGGTCAACTGTTGAGCCATAGCCTGCCTTCTTGCCCTGTTCTTGTCCTCTTTCCACTCCTTAGTTCCCAAGTTGTAGTGGATATTCTGAAAAGTCAAATTGGATCACTTCCCCCTGCCACAGATGCCCAGAGGTGTCCCTCTGCTGTAAAGAGAAAGCCCAAACTACGATCCCCTGTACGACTTAATGTCACCCTAAGCTGTTTTAGACCTTTCCCGTGAGAAGCCCTCCAGGATGTTGACCTCTTAAGCAGAGTTGATGGCCCTAGAATCGTGAGTGCCAGCACCGGTTACACTGTGTGTTCTTGGCCCTGTGTTTCTGTGGCTCTTCCCTTGTAGATTGTTTCCATGGTGCTTGACACATACCTGGATGCTTAACCGGAGCTTGAATGAATATTTGTAACCTGTTTGCCAGTTATTACAAAGCTTGTATTTGGACAATACAGAAGTGTCCATGGTATTGGCATTGGCCTTGTAAATGCGGTGGAGCAGTGTATTAAATAAGTGAAGCCTCTGTAAAATTTGCCTATAAAGCTGGCTTCACACAGCGTCTTTTTATAACTCTTGAGAGTAAAAGTGTGCATTTGAAGCCGCCAGGAATGCTCATGGTGGGTCAGATTGTTGTCCCGTTGGCAGAAGAATGGCAATGTGGCTGAGGGCCATAGTAGCTGGGTTCCAGCCGCTGGGTTCTGAGCATTCATGCGCCAGGCGCGAGGGCCACCCTCCCTTTTGACTCTGTCAACCGAAATCCAACAGGTGATCTGGACTGAGTGGAGCCCAGACTGAGGCTGAGCTCTGGGTTTGCCTGATGAGTTGTGGTCTCTTCTTCCCTCCCTGTGCCCAGGCCACGTGCTGTATGCTGACATCAAGATGGAGAATGGGAAGTCCAAGGGGTGCGGTGTGGTTAAGTTTGAGTCGCCAGAGGTGGCTGAGAGAGCCTGCCGGATGATGAATGGGATGAAGCTGAGTGGCCGAGAGATTGATGTTCGAATCGATAGAAATGCTTAAGCAGTTGCCTTTTTTAAACATCGATACCAGACCTCTGAATTTGTATTTTTTCTTGTTAACCATTTTAATTTGTTGGCTGGATGTATAAAGATGTTTAAAAAATTCAGTTGCTTTTTGGGGTAATTTGAATTACTTTTTTAATGACTGGGATTCCATTTGACTGTTTGCATTGAGATTGCAATGTGCGCAATTTTTTTTGTAGTTGTGGCATCTTGTTGACATCGAATATGACTTTGATAATAAATACCAGTTCCTGAAAGCTGCTTGCTTTTGTGTGTGTGTTGTGGGGTAACTGCCCGAGTTTGGGGGAGCTGGAGCTGCTCAGTCTCCTTTCTACCCTTGGAGCTGTGGACCCTTGAGGTGGGAGGCCACTGGCCCCAGCCACTTCAGAAAAATTTCGTGGAAACGGAATCCTGAGTGGACCTCAATCCCCCAGGGCTGGTTAATGGTGCATTTGGCTGTCGGAGCCATCCTGTCTCCCCTGGTGCAGTTCTGTAGGGCACAGATGCTGCATCAGGCTCGTTTCCAGTTAGACTTTTGTCTCAGTCTGCTCTGGCTGCTGTAACAAACATTTGTTTCTCACAGTTCTGGAGGCTGGGAAGTCCAAGATCAAAGCGCTGGGAGATTCAGTGCCTGGTGAGGGCCCGGTCCTAGTTCGTGGATGACACCTTCTAGCTGTAACCTCACATGGCAGAAGGGGCCAGGGAACTTTCTCAGACCTCTTTTATTTTTTTTTTTTAAAAAGTAATTTTTTAGCTTTATTTGTTTGGCTGCGCCGCACGGCTTGTGGGACCTTAGTTCTTCCCCCACCAGGGATTGAACCTGGGCCCTCAGCAGTGAAAGTGCGTGCAGAGTCCTAACCACTGGCCTGCCAGGGAACACTCTCAGACCTCTTTTGTAGGGGCACAAATCCCATTCATGAGGGCTCTGCTGCCATGACCTAATCCCCTCCCCAAAGGCCCCACCTCCTAGTACCATCACGTTGAGGGTTAGGTTTTCAACGCAGGAATTGTTTTTGGCAGCAAGGACACAAATGTTCAGTCCATAGCAGCTTTTCTTTGCTAAAACAGACCAAGTAGGGTGAGAGTTTCTGAGCATATTTTGTCCTGTCAGAGGTTTAGGCTGAACTTGATACCTGGACTCTTATCAGAACTGGGTCACATTCCCCCCAAGATGTGATCTCATACGTAAGTCCACTTGGGCTGTGTAGCCTGTGAGAAGCTGCCGCTGCTGCTTGTCACGTTGGATGTGGAGGGTCTTCACTCTGGCTGGTGGCTGACACGGGGTACCATCACGGGGACTCCCACCTCTAAGTCTAGCAAGGTGCCAGCTCCCTTGCTACCTTCTCCTGCCCTACTTTTCTCCTTTCTGGCCTATATCCTTGAGGGGTGCGACCTTGGAGAAGGGGGGTGACCCCACAGATTCTCCCAGGTGTCTGATCATGGCTCCACTGTGTGGTGCCCATCAGGAGGGAAAGACAAGACAAGAAGCAGGAATTGCTTTAAAAGAGGGGCTTTATGTGGTCTGTGTCCGTGGTCAGACAGGAGCCTGGGCAGCTCTGTGACGGCCAAACTGGGATCCAGGGCTCCTTCGGTTAAGAGGTGGCTGGATTGGTGGGTTGTCCTGGGTCCCCACCCCTGTAGGCCTTATCGTCCCCCGGGGAATGGTTGGTTATCCAGAGGATCTGCCGAGGAGGGGTGACTTCCAGTGACCCTTGCCCCATAAGCAGGTAGCCAGCAGCCCCTGGTGGAGTGGGATGGGACCTTACCCCCTCCCAAGACACTGTAGTCCCTTCCAGTCCACCCGGAGCATCCACATACATACCCCAGGAACCGACGTCGTCATACACCTCTGTTTCCCTGGTTGAGAGCACAGTTAAGGTCAGTAAGGGTCACCCCACCCCTCCCCCCTAAATCCCCCACCCCATCAGGGCCAGCACTCACAGGGGCAGTAGAGCTGTTCTGGGTACGTAGCCATCTGCGAGGAGAGAGCGGGGGTGGGTGAGTTCTCCACCCTCCCTGGTGGTTGGCGTCTTCCCAGGGCTGCCCCTGCTGGGCTCACTCACACTTGCCCTTGGTGTCCCGGCACAGCATCTCCTCCTTGCTGGTGAACTCGATCACCTCCAGGATCTCCCCACGCCGAACCGCCAGGTGCTTGCCACCCCCGCGACGGGTCTTGGCGTTGGGGTCAATCATCATCCTTGTCTGAATCACAATCTCCCCCTCAAACTGGGGAGGAAGACATCAGAGCTTTTGGTCATGCTGCCACCCGGAGGACCCCTGCCTGGCTTCTTTCTGAGGATGGAATTTGTGGGGCTTTGGTCAACTGGGGCTGAGCGCAGCCCTCCCAGGACTCTTGCTTTGCTTGGGGTTCACACCTTGAACTTCTTCCGGAACTCCCGCTCAGCTTTCTCTGCCTTCCGGATCTGCTTCAGAGACTTCAGGTCCGTGGGCGGCAACTGCTGTGGCTGGGGGCCCTTCTCCTTCCTGAGCCCCCGGGGAGTTGGGTGCTCATGAGCAAGACGTGCTTCTCAGGGACCCCCTTTTACCGTCCTCCCAGAGCTCAGCCCCACCCTGTCCCACTCCCTTTGCCCTCTGGTACCTGGGCTCTTGGTCTTGTGGTGGCCTCCTGGGGGGTTGCTGGGTAGACAGCACTTCATCTGGGACAGTCAGAATGCTGAGTTAGGGCAGGGACCATTGGTTCGGCCTCTGAATCTGGCGGCCTGCTCTTTCCCTTGTCAGTTCTCAGGACCTTGGTCCCCTCCGCACCCCGCTGCCCAGGCCTTTCTCATGAGTTGTGAGTTCTAGTGGATTGCCTTTCATTTTCTTAACTCCTGTCGCAGGACAGGCGTGGCAGAAACCGTTACCACTCATTTCAGCTGTCTTGACTGTCATCCCAAGTTGCTTGCCGAGGAGGACCTAAGGGTTCAGAGAGGTAACGCAGCCTGCCCCAGGTCACCCAGCTGTTAAATGGTAGAGGCAGGATTTCTCTGTAGGCTTTTGAGGCCATTTCACGCCTGCCTTGTAGAGCAGGTGGGGTTCTGGGAATTGTGATGAGGTTTGGGTCAAAAAGTAAGGCGAAGAAAAATATTTCCTGGAAGCAAAGAAGTCTGCCTCTGAGAAGGGGCTGTTGGGCTGGGGCTCTTGCCTGGTTGATGATGAGACTGGACTGTGAGGGGTCTCCCAGGTGAGGACTGACTACCCCGCAAATAACCAGCTGGAATTCCAGGTATGAGCCCTGCTGGCCTAGGGTGTGGCTTACAGTGAGAGCCTTGTGAACACAAGGGGAGTGAAGGATTCAGAACCTGAAGCCCCTAGCTTTTTGCAGTCCTCTCTGAATGACTTGAAGTGCTGCTCTGGACATTTCTAGGCCAGCAGACCCTTCCATCAAGCTGCCCGAGGGGCATCTGCATGGTGCCCTTCCACCCCTTCAGACACTGAGTTTGCCTCCAGCCTCAGCTGGGTCGTGCTCGGGTAACGGTGCCACCCAGAGGCTGCCCAGGCCGGAGATGGTCACCCGGCTGGGAGCAGTCTTGACTTCACCCCAGGGCCCCTACAGACCTGCCGCAGCCAGAGAGTGCAGCCCTGGGCACGGCAGTGCGGGGCAGACCCTGGTGCCCTGTGTCCCCAGCTTTCTGGCAGTGTGATCCTGAGCACGCTACCCTCAGCTCCTGAGAAAGAGCTGGGCCCGGCCCCTCCAGAGGAGCCCCCAGCTGTGCAGGGAGCCTCTAGTGGAGCCGCCACTGCTCTGAGTGAGGCAGAGAGTGGGAGGGGGGAGCCCAGAGTCCTTCCAACTGGGGACAGACTTGAGAAGGGCAGAGCTGCCTTTGGGACAATCACTGAGCCCCACTCAGTGTCTCGAGAACGGGGGAGATCTGGGGAAGCATGTGGTATATCGGCTCAGAACCTTGAAGAATGACTGGCGGTTGTCCAGTGCCTGGGACGGTGAGCAGAGGGAGGGAAGTGCCTGGTCTACTTGGGGTTGGGGAAGGGGAAGCGGTGGGCCACGCCTGCGGAGCTGCTGGAAGTGGATGGCCAGAGGTGCTCCCTCCCCACGTCCACATCCCCAAGAGAGGCCCCCCCAGACCCAAGCCACAGAGCTTAACTGGAGCGGAAGCAGGAGGGGCCCTGTCAGGAAGCTCTGTGCTAACAGGGGTGTTGCAAGCAGCCCCTGGGGAAAGCCCAGGAGAAGCAGAAGGCGCTGGGGAAGGAGTAACAGCTGTATAGGCAGCAGACTTTGGAGGGTGGGCTGGTGAGGAGGGAGCGGTAGCTGGGGATCCCAAAGGCACCTCTGATGAAACGTTCCCCTGCAGGAGACCCTTCCAAAGACAGGACAGGGAAGCAGCCTGGGAGCCTAGGGTCTGGGCTCCTGTGTATCGGCTGTGCGGCCTGGGGCAGGTCACTTCTTGCTGCAAGCTTGTCCTCAAGCTTGCACTCCTGTAAGATGGGCAGGACACTGCCTCGGGGGTGGTGGGCTGCGCACATTCGGTGAAGTGCTGGCGCGGGAGCCTTGGTGTTTTCACGTGGGGTTGGTGAATGCATCATCCCCGAGCTGGGCCTGCTTGGCCCTCATCCTGCTCTCCAGGAGCAGAGGTGTGGAAGGGAGAGAAGCGTCCTTGGAAACCCAGAGCACAGAGAGAGAGTTGCCTGGGACTGCAGACCTGGAGGGTCGGCCACACCCTGTCTCCAGCCCCTGCCTCTGAGTTCAGGCCCAAGTCCTGCCTGGACATCCCTCAGGCACCTCCAACACCATGGGTCCCTTACTCAGGTGCAGGCTCAACATTTGGGCCTCAACCCTGTCATGAGCTCGCTCTCGTCCCTGGTGATGCACCACCAAGTCCTCTTGCTGCTTTGTACCTGATCCTTCCACTGCTCTCCATGTCTTCTGCCACCACCCTGGCCCACACCCCTGCCCTGGCCACACCCTGGTCAGGCTGCTGGCCTCTGGGCCGCCCTTACTCACATTGTTCCACCCACCAGGAGCTGGCGTGACCTTTCTGAAAGGCCCCTCCTCCTCTCTGCTTCCTCCCCTGGCGCTGCTTTCAATCCATCAGGGATATGGATTGCCACTTGGCGTCACGCTAGCAACATGGCAGAACACACCCTTGTGACAAATGTTCCCCAGGTGCCTTGGCAGACTGGTCTGGCTGAGGGCCTGGCCCCGTCACCAACAAACCTCTGCCCTTGGGGCTGGGTCTGGAGTCGTCTGTGGGCTCCATGTCCTCGTACAGCTCGTAGGCCTCATCTGGGTCCCTGTGGGGATACCTGAGATGAGGGCCTCTTTCGGTCCCGTGACTCAGCCTGTACCCCCTGACTCCCTACACTCACTGTGGGGTGTCTTCAGGCTGTCGAGCCAGGAAGCCGGCAGAAGAGCTCCTCGGCAGAGCTGTGGAGAGATGAGAACAGGAGGGAGGGAGGCGGGCACTGCCAGGGAGCCTCCACACCCTCCTTTCTGCCTGGGCCGCCCTCACCCACCTGTGCTTGCTGCCAAGGTCCTTCGAAATCTCTGGACGTCCCTGGGGCCTGGGGGCAGTGGGGGCTTGGCTGGAGGGGCGCCCAGGCTGCTGACTGGGGGGAGAGGCCTCCGCCGGGGTGGGTGGCCAGGTTTGAGGCCCAGCCTCGAGCCTCCACCGCGAGCGAGGGCTCCAGATCTCTGCTGCCTGGCTCCAAACCCTGGGCTGAGTGGGAACCTAGGGCTGGAGGCTGCAACGGCAGTGGGCAGTGAGCTCTCTGAACGGGAGCCAGGGAGTGGAGGCTTTCTAGGGAGGTCACCGAGGAACTCAGCCTGCGGGCGCTTCCTGGGCAGAGATCTGGGCTCGGGCTGCGAGGACTTGCAGGGCGGCCCCCGCCACTCGGGCTGCAGAAACTCCTTGGGGAGCAGGCTGCACTCGGGCCCCGAGGACGTCCTGGGGAGGTCACCACACTCGGGCCGTGGGGGCTTCTCGGGGAGGTCACTCAGCGGAGGCTGTGGCATCTTTCCGGGGACTGTACTGAAGTTGGGCTGTGAGGAGTGAGGCTGGGGCTCACTGGACTCGGGCTTTGAAGGGGGCATTGGGGGGACCTCAGTGGACTCGGGCTGCGGCAGGGACTTCTCAGGGAGACCACTGACCCCAAGCTGCAGGGGCTTCTCGGGAACGGTACTGAACTTGGGCTGGGGGGGCTTCAGGGTGGCCTCATTGGACTCAGGCTGCTGGGACTTCCTGGGGAATGCACCGAACTTGGGCCCTGTGGGGGGCCTTGGGGCGTGGCTGAGCTCGGGCTGCAGGGGCTTCCTGGGGAATGGAGTGGCCTTGAGCTGTGGGACCTTCTTGGAGAGTTCACTGAACTCAAGTTTGCAGGGCTTCTTGGGCAGATCAGTGAACTCGGGCTGGGGGTGCTTCTTGGGATGCTCGCCTAGCTCAGGCTGTGGAAACTTTTTGAGGAGTTTGTTGAACTCGGGCTTTGGGGATATTTGGGGGAGTTTGCCGGTCTCGGGCTGAGAGGCCTGGAACTTTGCTTGAAGGCTCCGAAAGTCCTGATGACTCCCCTAGGGGACACGGAGTCAGGCAGGGACTCAGACACATGCGGGTGGTGGAGAGACGGACGTGGGACAAGCGGACATGGTCACGGACACGCACCCCCTTCCCCTGGCTCCTGTTCAGTTAGCTCCTCTCCCCCACCTTCTGCCCTTGGCTGCCATCTCTGTTGGCCATAGACTCCCACGTTTTTCTGTCTCCAGCCTCCCGGCGGGTTGCAGGCTCTCCTAAACTACCACACCCTCTGACCTCGCCACTCAGGACCAGGAATGCACACCCAGCCTCACCCCACTCTGGACCCGAGCTCCTGGGGCCCCTGGGGCCTGCTGCTCCCATAGCCCGCCCCGCCCCCTCAGTCAGGGGAGCATCCTCGAGCTCCTCCCCCCCCCCCACGCCCCCAGGCCCTTCTTTTCTCATTTCAAAATACATCCGGAATCCAGCCACTTCTCACCGCGTGCACCACTGTCCTGGCCCGGAGGAGCCTAACCGGGGAAGGCAGTATCCCCTGTTGCCTGGATCATTTAATAGGCTCCTCCTTGGTCTCCTGCCCGCCCCCGACCCCCGACCCCCGACCCCGCATCCCCATCCCTGGTCAGTCCCCTCACAACAGCCGGAGGAGGCCAGTTAACCCAGAGTCGGTTTGTGCACCTCTGCTCAAAATCTGGCCGTGTTCCTTCATTTCCCCACAGTAGAAGCTAAAGATCTCACGAGGGACTTCCCTGGCGGTCCAGTGGCCAAGACTCCGCACTCCCAACGCAGGGGGCCCGGGTTCGATCCCTGGTCAGGGAACTAGATCCCGCGTGCCACAACTAACGATTCCGCATGCTGCAACCAAGACCCAGTGCAGCCAAATAAATTAAAAAAAAAAAAAAATCTCACAAAGGCCCTGAACGGTAGATTCGACCTCTCCTACCCAGTCACCTCCTTGGCCTCCCCTTCTCCCATCTCCTGCCCTCTGCCTGGGACACTCTCCCCACTGCATGGCTCTCCTTCTCCTCTTCCAGGTCTCTGCTCCCATATTCCTTATTAGAGAGGACTTCCTCCCAGACCACCCTAATTAAAAAAAGAAGATTGGATTCCCCCTTCCCAGGATTCTCTATCCTCCCCAACCTGCCTGATGTTTCTCTTAGTTAGTACCTGACACCTTGTATCATTCTATTTATTTTACTTAATACTTTTTTTGTGGGGGGGCGGCGGTGGCCATGCCTCGCGGCATGTGGGATATTAGTTCTCCAACCAGGGATTGAACCCACGCCCCCTGCATTGGAAGTGCAGAGTCTTAACCACTGGACCGCAGGGGAGGTTCCAATACTTGTTTTTTAAATGTGTTTTGACTATTTGTGGGATTTTTTTGTTTTGTTTTGGTCTCTCTCCTCCTCCTTTCCCCAGCCCCTGTGGACTGTCAGCGCCCCAAGGTCAGCAGCTTGTCTTGTGCATTGCTGTCCTCCCAGTGCCTGGCCTGTGCTAAGATGCTCAGTAATTCTTCGTTGAAATAAAGAACGTACAGGACACAGAGACAGGCATATGGGCGGCCTGACCATCACATTCTCACACAGACTCACGTGGAGAGACACTAAGAGACCTAGAGGCAAACCTGAGGGCAGGGCCCCACAGTCCCAGACACCCCGACTGATGGTCAGGGATGCCCACCAGGCCCGGCAGGCAGGCTCCCGAGCGTGGGCACGCGCACCAGCCCTGGCACAGGAAGTCCGTCCCAGGTATGGTCTTGACCAGCCCCACATCCTTGGTCACGGACACAGGAGATGCACAAGTAGGCCAGGCCTGCTCTGACCGACAAGTCACCCCAGAGGTGGCCCTGCCACACCTCCCAGACCTGGCTTCACCTGGGGTCGAGGAGACCGGGGAGGGGAAGGGTACGACCTCGGGGACTTTGCCCCTGCCTGTGCCTCACTCTGCCCTGATCCAGAGAACAAGGAAAGGTGCCGGGGCCTGAGACGCCTCTGTGGAAGCCCCCCTAACTGGTGGGTTGGGGCAAGGCTCCCACGTGACCCAGGGGGCCAGAGAAGCCGGGGTCAACAGGTCAGGCCTTGGGGCGCTGCTGGGGTGGGGGGTGGGCAGCGTGTGCATGACCCGCTTTGTCGCCCCCAGGAAGGCCCTGCCCCTCACCCTGGCTGCCTGTTACCGGGTTGCTATTCATGGCGGGGGGGTCGTCTGGGCAGTGCCACCCGTCCCCCTTCTAGTCGCAGCCTCAGCCTCTGCTACAGGCCCCTCGGGAGCCTGAGCTGTCCCAGAGGTGGGTCCTGGCTGCCTCCTACCTCTGGGCGTTTGTGTCGGTCACAACCCTGAAAACCTGCCTGCCCCTCTGCCGCCCCGCTCTTGGAATGTGCCTTCCAGTTTCCACCCGTGGCATCCCTTGCCTCCGGCCAGTGGGGGGCTCTCCCAGGGCTTGGGGGCTCACTCACCATGGCTGCAGGCGGGTGACGGGCCACAGGGCAAGTGGGACCTGAGCCAGGGCTGCTGCCTTCAGGAAGTGACTGTAGCTTCTGCTCCACGGGCCCCACGGGGTGGGGTCTACTGGCCAGGCGGGAGGGCAGAGGAGGAAGGGGAGGAGGGGGGACAGCCCCAGCCTGTCTTCAGGTCCTGCTGGGAGCTTCTTGAATTCCTGTCCTGCGCTGCGCTTTGTGCATTTCTCAGCAGACACCCAACGGTCACTCGTTTCTCGACTCTGCTGGCCTCCTCTCTCCCACCCCATGCCCTGCTGTGTGCTAACCTCCGGACTCCAGGAAGGACTCATGCCAGGCCCTGAGGACCTCCTGCCGACAGAGGCAGGCCAAGGCCAACTCCTCCCAGGGCCTCTGCGGGAGGGGAGTGGTAGTTCTCAGCGGGAAAGGGGCACGGCCAGTTCCAGGCCGTGAGACCCCAGGAGTCGAGCGAGCCTGAAGGGTGAGGCCCTCCTGCTGGCTCTTGTTGCCTCAGTCCGCCTTCCTCATTTCAACACTTCCCTGTAGCCTGATTTCCAGCTCTGAGCAGGACTTAGGACTTCCCTGTTACAGGGGCAACTGTAACAAGGGCCGAGGGCCCAGGTGGGATGGCACGTTTGGTGGTGGTGGGTGGGTGGGGAATGTCCAAGGCTCCCAGAGGACAAGAGAAGGAGGAAAACGGGGACAGCTGGGAGGCCAGCAGAGAGGGGGTGAAGGTGGTAGGCAAGATTAGAGCTGTGAGGGTGCAGGGTGCGAGGCCAGACAAGGGAGACCCTGATGGCAGGGCTCGGTCCCCAGGAAGTCAGTGACCTCGGGCTCATAGAGAAAGGGAGAAAACACCCAGTGGGAAAGTGCAGAGCCCTGATTCTCAGTTCAGCTATGCCACCGGCATCCTTTGAGTTCACAGAAAGACAGAAGCTCCTGGAGATTTTGACTTAATTGGTCTGGGGTGTGGCCTGAGCCTGGGGATTTCTTACACACCCTCAGGGGGATTCTAGTGTGCAGCTGAGGAGTACTGGTGCCCACAAGTCACCCTGAGACCCCGAGAAAGTGTGGGTTGTGCCTCGGGTCTGAGGTGGGGCCTCAGATTCTGAAACATCCCAGGTGATGCCCATACTGCTGGTCCAAGGATCACAGCAAGAGTAACAGAGATGTACTGAAGTCTCCAGAAAGATCCACATGAGACAGGGACGGAGGCTGGGCATTGCATTCCCAGCAGGAGCCCTTCACTTGCCTCTGCCATGAAGGCCACAGACTGCAGTCGGCAATGACTCCGCCTGTGTCTGCTCTTAAGAGCACAGCTTGGGGATTCTGGAGCCTGTGCCCGTGCATCCCTGTCCTTGAACGGACAGACATGCACGCTGGGTCACATTTCCGGATGTTGGTCCGCCTCTGAGTAGGAGGCTGGGGATGATGAAGAGGTCTGGGTCCTGGAGCGGCTCAGCCTGTTCAACGTGAGCCTGCAGTCTCAGGCCAACCTGCCCCCTCTGGGGCGGCTGTGTAAGGTGGGTGCCTGCTTGGACGCGCCGGCCCCTCATTCATTCTCCCTTCAGACCGACACTCTGGGGCGCCCTCTGCTGGGCGGAGCCAGGGCCCTAAGAGGACTCAGCTTTCAGGCATCCTGGAGTTGGGGTGCGGTGGAGGGACCCTCTGTGGGGCTCCCAGCTTGGTTGGCCAGAGGGAGGTCAGGGGCTGCAGGAGCCCAGAAGGGACAGTGGGAACAGTAAGACTTCCCAGGCGAGCAGACAAAGGTTGGATGGGAGTTGGGAGGGGGTGAAGGTAGGGGTCAGTTTTCAGAGTGACCCAACTCCCTAGGCCTCAGGGCAATTTCAGCTTGCTCCAGAGGGCAGCGAGGGGCCCAGGGGGGACTCTGGACCCACTGTACCCATGGGAGGGGCTGTTGCATCTTTGTGGGTGACGTGGTTGGGGGGGGGCGGCACCTACCTGGACCAAGATACCTGGGTCTCTCTGGGAAGGTCCTGACAGACTGCGAAGTGGCACTGCCTAGATTCGGGGGTGCCTGAATGAGGAGCTTGATGGGGAAAACTCCAGGGGCTGGGGGACCCTGGTACGCTGGAGATGGGACACCAAGCCCTGAAGATGCAGGAAGGGATGGGCCTAGAGCCATATTCCCAAGGGTGTCTAGGGGCCTTGTGAGTGCAGGAAAAGGAGTGTGCCCTTTGGGCCTTGCTGCCTGGGTTTTCTCATCAGTGGTAACTGCCCCGCTTCTGGGGTGGTGCAGAATCGGTGACTTGGAACCGGGCCCGGCTAGAGTCAGGGCTCAGTCAGCTTACCCTCCTAGCCTCACCTCTATCTGTAAAGTGGGCCCCTGGACCCACCTCCTCCCCAGGTTCCTGAGAGGGTCCCAGGCAGCCGGCCACAGGCTTGGTGGTTGGAGTGATGTCAACCACCTGCGAACATTTCCCAAGCCCCCTCCCTCGCTCCCCATCCCTCTTTTGAATCCTCACAAGAACTCCAAAGGATGAGCATTCATGACACTCATTTAAGGAGTAAAAAACTGAGATGCAGAGAGATTGTCTTTCCCAGGATCACCCAGCTGTGGTTCCAAGGCTTCTGGCTGAGAAGGGGGAGGGGAGCTCACAGGGGGCCTGAGCCCCAGGGTTCCCTGACGGCCCATCTGGCCCTACAGCAGGTGCTCAGTGACAGCCACTTCTGTGGGGGCCTGGAGGTGCTAGCAGAGTGGGCGCCTGGCCTGAGCCACCTGCGACTCAGCTGCAACCCCATCAAGGACACTGGAGCCCTAAAGCCCCTTGTGAGGCTGAGGGCAATGGGGCAGGCAGGCGGGCAGGCCGGCTCCTGGGTCCAGGTGGAACAGGTCCAAAGGGTGCCCAGATCTCCCTGTTGCCCTTCCCAGGAGAAGCTGAAGGGCCTTCAGAACTTGGAGCTGTTCAGCTTCGAGGAGTCACAGCAGCTGCGCTAACGGAGCAGGATTTTGAGTCGTTACCCGAGCTTGGCTACCTGGCTGGCTTCGATGCTGGGGACCCTGCTCAACTCTGAGGCTGAGGCCAACATGCTGGGGGACGAAGATTCTGAGGAGGACTAGGGGGAGGATGGTAAGGCGGGCGAGGGGAAGATGGGAGGCTGGTGAGTGAGGGGTGTGAGGCCTGGGGACTCCACCCAGGGGGTGACTAATGTCTTGCTGGCCGCAGATAAAGGACAACTCTGATGACTTGGAAGATGGAGGAGATATGGAATGAAACAGGGTGGGGTGGGGCTGGGGACCTGGTCCTTGGGTTCTTGCTCACAGGATGTCTATGTTCCCCAGGAGGAAGAGGAGAGAGATGCTGAGTGTGGTCCTGAGAAGAGGAGGTGGAGAGGTTCAAGATGGGGCCTTGTGGGCTACTAGGAGAACAGGATCTTCATCCAGAGAGCTGAAGGGAGCTGTGGGGAGCGGTGGGGGTACTAGGCAGGGGAGGAGCACGATCGGAAGAGTTCCCTGTTTCCAGAGGTGTTCAGACTGGGGGGGAGGGCGGGGGGGGGGTTGCCTCCGGGGCGCCAGACGGGGGGGGGGGGGGGGGGGGCGGGCAGGTGGGATTGAAGCTTGGGCTGGAAGGGAGCAAGATGCAGGAAGTAAAGCCAGCCCGAGGGGTGGCTGCCAGCAATGCGTGGGACTTCCATACCCTGGAGGCTTGACCCTCAGGGTTCTGGTGACAGCAGTGTGGGACCAGATTTTGAACTCTGCCCCCAGCCTGACTTCCCAGGAAAGAAAGGAAGAAGAGGACCTATATGGGGGAGAGGTGAGAAGGGAGGAAGCCCAGGCTCTCCAGGGCTGGCCTTGACCCACCCTCCTCCTCAGAGCTGGGGCAGGGGGAGGAGGGGAAGTGGGCAGCCGAAGACAGTGAGGAGGATGAGCATGAGGCCTGAGCTCCCGCCTGCCAGAGTGCCCAGCCCTGGGGGCCCTGGCACCTCCCTTCTACTGCTGGGACTGCCCCACCACCCTGTCACCTCCCTGAGAGTCAGTGCTGGCCTCAGGACCTGGGGGGCTCCAGCTGGGCGGGCGCTCCTGACTCCCGGAAGTTTTTAAATAAAACTGGAAAACTTCCGTCTCGTACGGTTTCTGGAAGTGGTGGGACAGGAAAGAGGACCACCTACAGCTGTCCCACTGCTGAGGTTGACAGGGGAGGTGGGACACAGGTGGGCTGTGAGGGGGAGGCCTGCCCCCTTCCGAGGTGGGAGCGCCCCAGGACTGCACTGGAGGGGCATGGGACCCAGACACAGCACAGGCTGGCTCATCTGCCTCCTTTATTGTCCCGCCACCCCGCCCATCGAGGCCCCCCTAAAATTACAAAACTACCCACAGCCCACCCACAACGCGGCGTGGTTCAGAGCGGCGAGAAAACCGGACACTCCCCCTCTGACAGCAGCGGCGACACCTTGGGTGCCAGCGGGGCCGGGTCTGGGTGGAGCAGAGGAGGGGGCGCCTGAGCCTCAGCCCCGCCCCTCGCCTCAGGGCCCCCGCCCTCCCCACCCGCGCGCTCCCGGGCCTTACCCGCCGGCGCGTCGGGGCGCGGCTGCCCGGGCGCCGGGGCCGCAGGGGCGATGGGGCGGTGGTCCTCCAGGTGTAGGGTCATGGCGGGCCGCGAGGCCGTGGAGAAGGCGCACTGCATGCACGAGTAGCGGCCGCGCGTGTGCTCCCACACGATGCGGCTCGGGGCCGCGTGCCCTGCAGGCAGGCGGGACCCCGTCAGCCCCGGGCCCTGGGCGAGGGCGAGGACCGGGGCGAGGGCGGGTCGTACCTTTCTCCCCGCCTCCCCCTCAGCTCCCAGGCGCCGGGGCTCTGGAACGGCTGATCCGTTTCTCCCGGGCGTTTCCCCATGTATTTGGGGGGCACCAAACTTGACTTATCTGCGTTCCCCTCTCCCATCCTCTGAACCAACGTAGGGGGAAGGACTCGGGAACCGGGTGAGAGTTTTACACGGAAACGCCGGCGCAGATAAAGAGCAGGGGCCGTAATTTTTTAAGGCAAAATCCTGTATTTCGGGGATGACATTTCTGGCCACCTGGGAAGGGGGTGGGCACCGCTGCCTCCCAGTATCCCCTACGCCCCGCAGGGGAGAAATCCCCTCCACCCTCCCCGGTGATCACCTGCACGCACCTGAGGGCGTATCGGAGCCGCCCTGGGGTCTTCGCGGGCTGCCGCCGGCACCTGCGGTAAATGGGCGGGTCAAGGTCAGAAGTTAGAGGGAGCCCAGCCCACCCTTCAGGCGTCCCTGCCCCCACACTCACCTTGGCTCTTTTTCCACACTGCGGCGCTGGAGGCGGGCGGCCCGGGAGCGGCGGCCAGAAACGGGCGCGGGCGTGGGGGGCTTAGGCCAAAAGGCGCGGGGTTCAAGTACGGCAGGAAGGGCCCGGTGGGGGCAGGGGCAGGGGTCGTAAACGGCTCGAGCAGCGGGAACTGTAGCCCAGGCGCCAACGCAGGGTCGGACTCCGGGGGGCGCTCGGGCGCTGGTGGCTCCTTGTCGAGGGCGGGGGGTGGCGGCGGGGCTGGGCTCTGCGCATGCTCGGCGCAAACATGCAGGTGCTTGAAGAGGGAGCGGTGCGTGCGGAAGCGCAGGAGGCAGTTCTCACACCTGGGGGCGGCACAGGGCTGGGCTGGGTCTCCTGCGGGACAAGGGAGGGGCCTATCCGTAGTAACCTGCGGAGCCGCCGCTCGAGGGTGGTAAGGGAGCCCGGGCCCAAACAACAGATCCCCCATCTGCGGGGGAGGAGTCTGCCCTAAGCGTCCCCCTACTGTGGTCGCGACCCTTCCGGACCCCTCCAGGTCGGAGCCCTGGGAAGATGAGGAAGGAAGTCTCAATTGTGACTTAGGTGATCCCTTTTCCTCTTGGGAGGTAGAGGGCTGGGCGGAGCCGCGCCAAGAATGCCGCCCCCAAAACCCCTTCCGAGCCCCGCCCTCGGGGTCCCTGGAACTTGCTCTAGCGACCAGTGTCTCTTCTGGGCAGGTTAAGGGCAAGGCTTGCCCTAGTTCATGCGCACTTCCCCGACCCAACCCCATGGACTAGGAAGGGAGAAAAGCCCGGACCCCCAGTAGTGGCTGTCAAATCAGTGGTGGGGGGTGCTGCCTGGTCACCGAGCGCCAGCAGACGTGGGGGTGGACGGGGTCTCACTTGAAGTAGCGATTGGGTTTGTAGTGCAGCTTGCCGTGTGCCACCAGTTCCTGCATGTTAGGGAAAGTCTCGGTGCAGCTCAGGGCGGAACAGCGGAAGAGCTTGCCTGGCAGGGCAGGGATGAAGGACAGAGGAGTGGAGAGGGGTGGCCAGTCGGCTCTGCCTGCCTCCCGCCCTAACCTGCCTCCCCACCACCTACCCTGGCCCTACCTTCCAGGGACTGTGTGGGTGGGCAGTGGGTACGCAGATGCTGTGCCAGGTCTCGAACGCTGGGGAAACTGAGGCAGCAGCCAGGGCTGGAGCAGGGTATCTGCTTCCCTGCAGGACGCACAGAAGCGAGGGGAGGGGTGTGTCACCATCTCTTCTCCATCCACGCTGTCCAGGGCCCTACCCCAGAGAGGCATGTATGGGGTTGCAATTACCCTATGGTCTCTTACTGGGGCCTTCACCCTCTGCCTCCCCCAACAGAGGGTTGGGGCTGAGTTGGCCTGGCTCACAGCCTGGCATACACCTGGGGCTCAGTAAGTGGTGATTCCCTCTAGATGGGCCCCAAGTCTGGAGATACTCTGTATTCTTCACTTCTATCGTTCCAGGCCTGTGATCCCCCAGAAGGCCCCATCACGGGTCACCTGGTGGTGGGCGTCGTCTGGGAGGCCGCAGGTCCTCACTGGTTCCGGAGACAGTGCTGGTCAGGCCAAGGCCGGGTCCAGGGCCAGCATGGCCACTGTCTGGGGCTGGGGAGGCACCCTGCTGGGTCCCTCCAAGCCCTCCACGTTCCCACACTGGGGGTGTGGCTGCCTGGTCAGAGCCTGGCTCCTCCCCCATGGAAGAGGAAGTGGCTACAGCAGCCACAACTGGGGACACCTCCTTGTCGGTCTCACTGGAGCTGGGCTCTGCAGTGCCCGGCATGTCCGGGCTGGGACCCGAGGTTTCCTCCTCCTGGTGGAAGGAAGAGGTGGGGAGAACCCCTCTGGGCCCAGGGTCTGCCTGGGCCAGCCAGGGGAACTCCACCCCGCCAAGACCACTGGGCATTCCTGAAGCAGCAAATGCCCCGGAGACGTCACCCAGTCAGCCCCCATCCTAAGGAGTGGCAGGGGGTGAGGGTGGATTGAGCTCCTGCCTCCTGTGTCCCCATCCTCTGGGAGGGAGCTTGGAGGTGTTCCAAATGTAGAAGGGGGTACCTTTTTAAGAATCATCTATATGAAAGAAGCATGCCTTTGACCCTAACTCGGAAAGGTGGGAGGCCCCCTACAAGGCAGGGGCGTGGCCCACAGGGAGTGGGCGGGGCAAAGGCGGGGATCTGAACCGGGCGCGGATAGGAAGATGCTGGAGGGGCCAAAAGTGGCCGAGGGGGTTGTTCAAGGACGGAGATATATCTACCAGCTGGGCTCGAGCTGTGCAGGCGAACTGGAAGTGCTGGGGCCCCGGCCGTATGAAGATCTGGGGCGGTGCCCGAGCCCTGTGGGCATGGCCCAGTCGAAACCAGGCCCAGAAGTAGGGGGTAGGGTGCTCCCCGAGTGACAGCCAGCGGCGGGCGAGTGCCCGGATGTGGGGGCGGGGTCGGCCGGAGGCTATGTGCGCTACAGGGCCGCTCCCCGCCAGTCCCCGCTGGTTCGCCGCGTCCGCGTCCCCGGCGCCGCGCTCACCATCCTCGACCTGGTTCGGCTTCTTGTTCCCGCGGCTCCGGCGGCTCCAGCTAAGGCTGCGGTGACTCCTTGCGTGGCCGCAGGCTCTCGCTCACGCCGGCGCCATTTTTCGCCTCCCAGGTCTCGCGAGAACGGAGGGGGGAACCTGTGCACAGTGCTCCGCGAGGAGGCGGGGCCTGAGATCCGGGATTGTCCTGGACGGCGGAGCGTGCGCCGTGGTGGATTTGCAAGCCGAGGGCAGTCGTAGGGTGCAAAGAATCTGCAGGCAGAGATCTAGGATTAAAATCTCCCCGGGCCTCTGTGTTCTCCTCTGCAAAATGAGCATCTTCATCCTCTGCAGTCCCGTCACCATACCTCGAAAGGGGATAAACAGCGGTTCTCTTTTTTGAAGAGGTCGTGTTTAGAGGGCCTCCTCTTTGGAGGGAAATCGGCAGTGGCCGTCAAAATTTTCAATGCACTTAGTTCTGACGTTGGAACAGGTCTGCTGAGATAGCCAAGGGCGGGAAGCAAGCCAACTGTCCGTCCTCGGGACACCCGGAACGGGTGTAGCCTAAGGATGGAGAGGTGCGTGTTTTCAGGAGGATGGATGGATAGCCTTGGGTATACCGGCGTGGAATGAATCACCTATCCAACCTACGTTTCTTTTCTTTTCTTTTTTTTTTAATACAGCCTCACTAAGTGTCACTACATCTCAGAAAGTCACTCTAGAATTTAACACTACTGTTTTTTGTTGTTTGTTTTTATTTATTTATTTATTTTTGGCTGTGTTGGGTCTTCATTGCTGCGCGTCAACCTACTCCTACGTTTCTTGAGTGCCTACTCTGTGCTAGGCGCTGGGGACCCAGAGATGAACAGGACAGACCAACATCCCCACTCCCAGAGTCCGCTCACGGTTTAAAATAGGGAAACAGACAATGAATCAACACATGCAGCAAACGATCTTACGTTATATTAAGTGCTACAAAGGAAAAACAAAACAAAACCCCAGAAGGGTGTGATGGTGATGGGTCAGGAAAGTTGCTCTGTGAGGTGACTTCTTTTTTTTTTGCCATACGCGGGCCTCTCACCGTTGTGGCCTCTCCCGTTGCAGAGCACAGGCTCCGGACGCGCAGGCTCAGCAGCCATGGCTCACGGGCCCAACCGCTCCAAAGCATGTGGGATCCTCCCGGACCGGGGCACGAACCCGTGTCCCCTGCATCGGCAGGCGGACTCCCAACCACTGCGCCACCAGGGAAGCCCTGTGAGGTGACTTCTGAGCTGTCACCTGATGGTCAGGAAGGAGTGAGCCAATGGAAGGTCAGGAGGCCACAGCACTCTGGGAAGAATGGATAGCTGGTGCAAGTGGCCTGAGTTGGGGAGGGACAATCTTGTCTTTTTCAAGAAACAATGAGGTGATCAGCTCACTGCTGGAGCAGAGTGGAGGCAGGGAGTGGAGGTCAGAAAGTGGACATGGTGCAAGAAAGGTCATGCAGGGACCTTGTGAACCATGGAAAGAGAGGCATGTGATCTCTATTCTAACCTTGAATATTTAGCAGGGGGAGGTACACCATCTGATCGCCAGTTGTCGTTTGGAGGATGGGTCATTGTGGGGACGGTAAAGTGGGTCTTTGATCTCAGATCTCTATAATACATTATTTAACCGTTCAGGAAGTATTTCTTGAGTTCTAGGCAAGTTTAGGCTTTACATACGGTGTATTTCCATCTATATATACATAAGATGTACCTATCTGCTTTTATACGCTAAGAATACCACTGGAAGGAGATGGACATTAACAAATTGGGGGGGACAGGAATTTTCGAGTGAGGGGAAGACAGATTTTTCACACTCTTGGGCTGTTTGAATTTTTTTTTTGGCCGCACCGTGCAGCTTGTGCATTGCGGCCAAAAAAATCCCTTGTGTCTTCGTTCCCCGACCAGGGATCGAACCCGGGCCCACCACAGTGAAAGCGCGGAGTCCTAACCACTGGACAGCCAGGGAATTCCCATGGGCTGTTTGAATTTTAAAACACTGTTTTCTTTTGATTATCATTAATACAGTTAAAACTCATTAACTGTATTAAAAACTCCTTAATTAAAAAAACATCATTTTGATACAGGGTGGAGTTGTGTGTGTGTGTGTGTGTGTGTGTGCAGGGGAGGTTGGTGCAATCTGGGGAAGGGTGGGGCGAGGTCCCAGAAAGGACAGGGAACCAAGAAAGAGAGAGGAGGGGCCCAACTTAAGAAATTTTGTAAAAGAGTCAACAGGATGTTGCTGAGTGGGGGGGACCAAGCTGACTGAGGTTTGCAGTCCGAAGATGCTATAACCTAGATGTGAGATGCTGTCTGTTAGAAGATGTCAAACCCACTCCCTTCTTCATCCCCAGTGCCTCACCCAAACCTCACCCATCAGTCTTGCCCGGAAGGCCCCACTTCCTGCAAACAGGGTGCCTGCTGTGGCAGTGGGGCCACAGGGCTGTACCCCAAAGTGCCAGAAAGGGGGGCAGCCTGCATGATGAATTCTAGGGCAGAGAAGGGAGACAGAGGCCCTCATTCCCCTTCAGCGCCAGGAAATGCCCAGCTGATGAGCTTGTGGCTCACACAGTCCTCCCCGACTCTGTCCCCCAATCTAAGTCTTGCAGAGAGACACTCACAGTGGTGACTGGGCAGTGGAGGGGCAAAAATCAGAGATGCAGAGAACCAGGGACATTCAAGGGACTGGTTAAATGCTTTTGTATAGTGATTGGCTAATAAAAGGCTGTTGAGACCCAGTTGCAAAATTGGGATTTTTTTTTCCCAGCCACGCTCAGCTTCCCAGGTAGGTGTAGATTCTACAGAAGGCTCTGCTGACCAGTCTTTCTTTGATACCTCATCTCCCATCCCCCAGGTGGGTAGGTGTCCTCTGCCTGGAGTCCTCCCATCACAGCATAGATCACTCTGTGTGGTATTTGCCATCAAGATCTGCTGACCCAGGGCTTCCCTGGTGGCGCAGTGGTTAAGAATCCGCCTGTCAATGCAGGGGACATGGGTTCCCAGCCCTGGTCGGGGAAGGTCCCACATGCCGCGGAGCAACTAAGCCCGTGTGCCACAAATACTGCAGCTCGCGTGCCTAGAGCCCGTGCTCTGCAACAAGAGAAGCCACCGCAACGAGAAGCCCGCGCACCGCAACAAATAGTAGCCCCTGCTCACCACAGCTAGAGAAAGCCCGCGCACGGCAACAAAGACCCAACGCAGCCAAAAAAATATATGTAAATAAATAAATTAAAAAAAAAAAAGGTCTGCTGACCCTTTCCATCCTTCTTGGCTCCTCCAGCAATGTCCACACTCTCTCTGCATCTCCCTCCCCTGCTCCAAGCCCTGTCCCTTCTCTGGCACAGTCCTGACCCCACCCATCTGGCTCCATCTCTCCCAGACTGACTGCTCTTTGTGGGGCTGAGCACAGAGCGGTTGTTCATTTGGAAAGGTCTGAAAGGCTCAGACTCCAGCACTGGTTTGGAGACAGCTGCGGGAACCAAGAGTCAGCTGGAGGGGACTGGTAGCTAGGCTGACCCCCTCTTCACCATGACAATAAGTGCAGAAGGCCAGGGCCCTCGCATGTCAGAGCTGGTCCTGACGCCAGGTGAGTGAGGGCTAAGAAAACACAGACATGGGGTGGGGGTCAGGGTTCAGGGGTGATTCAGGGTGAATTATGGGGGGCCATGTGGGACCTGCCTCCCTTGTCAGGGTCCAGTAGGGTCCCAGTTTGTTTGGCAGGGGGTGCAGAGTCAAAGCTGACAGGACCCACTGGAACATTTGCTGCAGGAAAGCTAGCATGCAGCTTCTGGAAGCTAGCAGGTGAGACAAACTCAAGCTTTGTGAGGGGCAGAAGCATATCTGAGTTCACGACTTGGCTCTGTGCAATCTTGGGTGAGCCTCCATTTTTCCATCTGTAAAATGGGATATTCACTGCTACCACCCCACAGGGTTGTGAGAAGGTAGTCCTTGTTGGGGCTCAGTAAGTTAACTCATGTTTTCACTCGGCAAACATTTATTGCCTCAGTGGTGAGAAAAGGAGGGAAGTCAAGCTTGTCAAGGTCCCCCTGACTGTGCCCGGCACTTTGCCTGCAGGACACAACTCATTTCCTACTCACAAGGCAGCTGGGAGGTAGGTTCTGCTGTTAGCCCTGTTTGACACAGGAGGAAACAGGTGTGCCTTGGGGGAAGCCAGGGCCTGGGGGTGGCTTAAGTGGTGATCCCTAGACCCAGGACCTGTGCTAGGCTGGGCTGGAGGCCACAGGACTGGACCTTCTGGCCAATGCAGCCAAGGGAAATGAGACCCGCATTGCAGAGCCTGGCTCCTGGCAGGATCCAGGCAGGCAGGTGGGATGGCAGGATCCCAGGCCCCTGTCCTGCTCAGATCTTCTCCACGTAGTTTCCTGGGAAAAGGCCCTCCTGGCCATGCAGCCGGCCTTTCCACCAGCCTGAGGAATCTGTGGGAGAGAAGAGAGAGTGAGGCTGAACCCAGCCCGCTGTGGAGAAAGCCTTTCATGCTGGCTCTGTGTCTGTCTTTCTGTCATTCGTCTGCACTGGCCTGGCATAAGGCAGAAGCTGAAAAGAGAAGACAGAAGGGCAATTCCCCAGCGGTCCAGTGGTTAGGACTCTGCGGTCTAACTGCCGAGGGCCCGGTTTTGATCCCTGGTCCGGGAACTGACATCCCATGAGCTGAGCGGTGCGGCAAAGAAAAGAAAAAACATGTCTTTTAGGGGACTTCCAAAAAAAAAAGAGAAGACGGAAGGGAGGGAGCAACGCGTGGGTTTTCCTTGCCACTGGCTCACACTCTGACATTTTCTAGACCATTCACTTGTACTCGTCCCTCATCCATCTCCTCCTATAGGTCCCTCCCCATAATCCCCTTGGTGGAACCAGGAATGACCCCTAAGGGTTCCCCTACCCACCTGCAGAGGGTGCTGTTGAGTCCCAGGCTCCTCTAGGGGCAACCCGGGGGCAAGGTAGGAGGTCTGGAGGCCTGGGCCATCCAGACATGGCCCATTTCCTACTCACAAAGTAGGTTCTGCTATTAGTCCTAGTGCTTGACAGGTGAGAAGAATGAGGCTGGGGTACAGGGTGCGATACAAGTGAGGCCAGGCTCCCAGGGTGGCTTAGGAGGTGACCTCCAGGCCCTGGCTCCTCCCATTTCTGCCCTGGCACACACACCTTCCATGAGGATCTCGATGACCTCGTTCACGTTGAAGCTCAGCTCGTCCACATCTTGGCCCACGTACTGGTACAGTGCCCGGCACCTTGGGCCATGTGTCCGTGGCTGGGGCTTAGGTCGGCCCACACCGGGCACAGGTCTCTGCCCTATGCTGCGCTTCCTCTGCATGCTGTGGGCACATGGAGGCACTCGTCATAGCCCCAGACACTCCCCCACCTCCTGGGGCTGCCCTCCCACACCACCTACCCAGCCATGCCCTGGTCAGGAACATTGAGGAATTCTGTGTTGTGCTCCGAGGGGGGCCGTGCTCGTTGGCGTCTGCTGGCCCCCAAGGCTGAGGATGGAGGGCCCTGTGGTGGCTTCTGGGAGCCCCGTCTGGATGTGAACTCCAGGGGTAGGGGGCCCCCTCTGGCAGAGGGAGGCACCCCATTGCGATCCAGGCCTGCAATGAGATGGGGGCATTTGTCAGGGTGATGCTAGGAGGATTTGGGGGGACTTGGCTCCAAGTTCCCTGTCTGAGGGAAGAGGCAGCTACTCTTAACCCAGTATGGTAAGGAATGGCCTGGAGAGAGAGACCCTGGGGCTAGGAGGCCCTAGAGGGAGACTCTGAAGGGGTAAGATTTTCCCCTACTCTCTTCTGTAGGAGGGCTTTTGTGGGTGGGTCTTGGAGGATGAATAAGAGCTCAAGTGGAGCAGGAATTTGGGAGACAGGCAGAGCAAACAACCCAAGCAAAGGCCTGGAGGTAAGAACAAATTTGGTAAGTTGGCAAAATAAGATGTAGCTTGCATGACAGGAGTGTAAGGTGGGAGGAGAGAAGAGGTCAGTGGTTAGCTGGGTTAGGATTCTGAAGGGCTCTGAATACCAAACTAAGCTTTGGCTTTATTCTTTGGGAGATGGGGAGCTATGGAAAGTTCTGGACAGAAAAGAAGAGCATGGTCATCTCTGCTTGTTAGATCCT